AGATTGCACTTTTATTTTCACAGCATTTACTATACAACACATATATGAGTGCAAACTACATTGAATTACATCAAAACTGATAGTAAATATTGTTTTTTGCTTTTAGTTTCTGCTGAAGAAGTACGAATGTCTCACGAGGTACCACTGAACAGAACAGACTATTTGCTTTAATTTTGATGGAACCTCCTCTGAACTGTTTGTGCTCAAAGTGCAGCCTTGAAGGAGCTGCTGCAGCTTTTGTTTTGAGTTTGGTCTGAAGGCTGCTTCCACAGACTACCACCCCCCTAGTCACACACACACACATAGATCTGTCAGGATTTTCTAATCCTAGAGTTTTACCATCTATTTTCTATCAGAAGCTAATGCAGGAGATATGTGTAGGAGACTATTTTCATGTTCAGCCTGCATGAAAAACTGAGAGTGACCGGTTATAATCAGAAATAATTATTTTAAAAAATATTTTTCAGTGTTGCACACTTATAAACATTTTTCCCTAAAAATATGTTTCAAAATGAATGAGTGCTAAACTGTGTGGTCATTTTTTGAGAGGTTTTGACTTTATGCATTTTCATTTTGTCACCTAATCCAAACGTAACTCATTTCATTCCCGTTGAGAAGGAATTGTCAATGGGGCATTTCACTCCAACTTATTTCAGATTATAACGACACTCGAAATTGTTGCTCAAAGCAAATCATGTAAAAAAATGTTGATTTGTTGGTAAAATTAAATTTAAAATGGATCATTTCCTGAATAATTTCAAGTTGAGTAAGCTTTTATGAAAGATATCTAAATTCTTCTGTCCATCACGATAAGACCACAATAACGTTTGATTCTATAAAAAAAAATATAAATAATAAATATATATATATATATATATATATATATATATATATATATATATACATACATATGTATATATATATATATATACATATATCTTCTTTTTTTTACACGTTAACCTTTGTGTGTGTATATATATTCTTTTTTTTCACATGTTAACCTTTGTAAAGTAAATATTCACATTCAGTCACCACTGACCTACTTTCACTGGTATCATAGGAGCATCTGCAAGGTCTTGGGGGGAGAGCACATACAGTACCTGGTAAGTGACAGGTGTAAGCTGCACGTGGTAAAAACCATCAGGAAAGTGCATTACAAATAAATAAGGATCAGAAGACTTGATTATTATAAGATGGGAACCTGTACATTAATGAGAAAGAGGTAACAGGATCCAAGGTTAAAAAGGAAAATTCCATCCATTCTCGGTACCCGCTTGTCCATGCAGGGTCACAGGGGGCTGGTGTCTACTCCAGCAGTCTCCAGGAAAACAGGCGGGGTACACCCTGCACTGGTTGCCAGTCCATCGCAGGGCAACACAGAGACACACAAGACAAACAACAAAGCACACACACTCACTCACACCTAAGGATAATTTAGAGAGATCCATCAACCTGACAGTCATGTTATTGGACTGTGAGAGGAAGCTGGAGTACCCGCGCATGCACAGGGAGAACATGACAACTCCACACAGAACAACCCCAGGTTGGGATTTGAACCCAGGACCTTTTATCCTGCAAGGCAACAGTGCTAGCCACTGCACGACTGTGCAGCTCAAAAGGAAAATACCCAAAGGTAAAACTCAGAACCAGGAGAGTGAAAATAAAATATAAAGTATTAATAAATATAAAAGCAGAATAAGGAAACTGCAAAATGGGGAGCCCAAATGTTTATTTATATATATATATATATATATATATATATATATATATATATATATATATATATATATATATATATATATATATATATATAAAATTATATATATGTATATATATATATATATGTATATATATGTATATATATGTATATATATATATATATACATATATGTATATATATATATATATATATATATATATATATATATATATATATATATATATGTATATATATATATATGTATATATATATATATATATGTATATATATATAGGGGAGCGGTGAGCTGCAGCTGTGGCCGTGCTTGGGAACTATTTGGTGGTTTAACGACCAGGTGTGTGAACAAGCAGCTGGGACTGCAACACCCCTTGTTGTGACTAAATGATTTAGCAGCTTTCCATAAACAACAAGTAAATAACACCGTCACCTTTTATGATCACCAACTCCCACAAAAGCATCGAAGCTGCAGCCCTGCTGGTGGTCCAGGAGTACAGAGAACGTGTCACAACACTGAGATAACTTTCTTCCCTGTTCATATGGTTGTTTTAATATCTTAGTATGAGCTGACGTTAACATCTGCTACAGGAAATAAGAAAATTGGTGGTTTAAAACTCCCACAAGGCATAGCTTCAAAATAATGATTGGCGAGATTGTTTTTGATTCACAAAGATCCACCACTGTGATGTTTTCACATCACTCCTCCGATCCGCCTTCCAGAGGGTTGCTAAGGTCTTAGTTGTCCCTGATTCACCTGAGAGATGTTTGGGTTACTCTCCTGAAGGTGTGAATTGCTGTGAAACCATTTGAGGATTAGATTCAAAGCTGGACAGTGGTCGGCTTCCTACTCTGTTTAATGCTGTTTTCTTTTGACAAAGACTGATTATTTTTCTCCTTCAAAACATTGTTTTTCATTTGTATATCTGCAACCTGCATATTAGTGGACTAAAGAACATTGACCTGAGGAATTAGCTCTTCTGTGCTTTATTTTGTGTAGTCATTTGGTTTCTGATCATCCAGGATTATTGTGCCCTGGATGACTGAAATCCTTCACCAGCTAATTTAGGTGAATAATCAGTGTAGTGTAGATTTTTCTTTAAAACATGCAATTTCTTCATAATAAACCTTTCTACTCCCATAAGTTATACTCTTGCAGAATTAGCCATAATTATTCTGTTTAGGAACCTAAAAATCTATAGACTAATTATGAGCTAGCATTTGTTTAACAAAACATTTATGGTGTTTATACACATGTTAGGCTCTGGAAAACTGATTTCCCTGCATGGTTGTAAACATTCACATTGTATATTATGTTTAAACCCTCCGCACCGTCACCCATATGTTTCTGAAGAGCTGAGAAGAGTATGTTTCACTCCCAGAAAATACAAAAATGAAACTGAGGGTAGGAGCAGATGACTGACACTCATCAAACTCCGAGCTATGAGCTAACCAATGCTAACGGATGTTGGTGGCTGCATTTAGCCAGAACATCACGGCCCAGCGACTCTGCCAGCCTTCGCCACCTAGGGTGTAGCACTTTTATGGTGAGGCCTCTCCTTGAGCAAGCAGGAGGGCAAGCCGCTAGTGCTGACAGCTCATCTGACACCTGTCAGTCAAAAGGTCACACCCCTTTCATGATTTCAAGCTTTAATTACATCTAAATGGATCAGTTACAAACCTGGAATGTTTTTTGTACCAGGCTGTTAATTTCTGCTTTGAAATTGGGAATTTTAACCCTCTCAGGCTCAAAATAAGTTTTGATAAAAAGACGAATAACTAAGTCCTTCAGAGGTACTTCTGAGTTAAAAATGCTCATGAAAAAGGTATGTGGAGTAAAAAGGTAGGTAGGTTTTAACGTAGCAAATCTGCAGCGCCTGCCTCTAGAGGGTTAACATGGGAGCCAATGAGAACTTGCTTCTTTATGAAATCAGCTCCTAGTGGATGAGGGCTGCAATTTTTGTCACTTTGGCATTGGCTTCGCTTTTGGCAGGAGATGTTTGCCCCTTGGTTGGAAATGGGCAAATCAGAAGGAAACAGACCATAATATCAGAACAAGACAAAAGAAACCAACCAAAAGAGAGTATGGAAACCTAAAATGATTTTGCAGCTGTAACAAAGTGAACAGGAAATTTTGTTTATTTCTATCACCCCATTTTTAATTAAAATAATTTCTACTGTCAATAATCTTCCATCAGAGTTTTCAAATCTAAAACTTTTTTTTAACAAATTAGAAAATATCTTAATTTTGTCAGACGTTTGAATAAAATAAGTGAGTTTTCTGTCTCCATCATGAAAACAGGCAGTCTCTTAAGATGTTTGGGTCACTTTGTTCAAAGAGAAAAACCGTGCTCCAGTTCGATGATTGATTGTAACAGCAGCTGCCGGCCCGCGCACCGCATTCAGAACCCGCGCTGAACTATTACCAAAAGTTCTGAACATTTTGAGAGCATTTTCAGATTTATCTGCATCAGTGATGAACATGGCTGCACTCATTCACTCGCTCGCCTGGCCTCTCTCCCTCCCACTGCTTTCAGGAGAGAGTCTGCGTGGGTTTACACTTGAGTTTCTGCCATGTGCTTTCTACTCCCTGATCTCACACACACGCACGCACGCACACACACATGCTGCATGCATGCATTCAAACACACACACACTCTCTCCCCCACACTTTCCAGCTTTGTCTAAAGATTTTCTAAGTTTGTGTTAGAAATTGTGAGTATAAAAGAGAGAAATGGGTAAATCTCAAAAGCTTTTTTTTAAGGATAATTTTCGTATTCTTGTATTGATCTCTTCAGTTAAACACAAATGCTTAAATATGCATCCTGGTTCAGGATTATCACTTAGATTTTGCATTTGTGACTCCAGCATGCAATCCCTTTCTAATTGAATATGACAATTTGCTTTTTCCATCTGGTGCCAAACATCCAGATGCGGTTTCTGCTATTTTCCACTGTTTCTGTGTAGGCAGAGGCACATCGATGAGTGTGTGGGTAGATGTGAGTAGAAATGCCTGCCAGGTGTATGTGGCTGTGCATTCTTTGTCTCCCACCATGCGAGTCTGGTGCATTAAATGAATATACTGTACCGCTCACAGGCTGTACAGTTGTCTGCAAGTCATGAAATCAGTTTGTTCTTTGCTTTTTTTCTTTTTCTTTGACACATTTCTAAAGCTGTCCTGGTGGAAAGAAATCCTTATGTCCATTTTTCAATTCAAAGAACACCACAGACAGAAATCATAGATCTTAGTTAGTTGACAGTGTGCTGTAATCTATCGTTTCACTAGGATCTTGGCAACCGCTGGTTCCCACATGAACATTCCTGCGGACCTCCGTACCCTGAGGGCTGTGCGAGTCCTGAGACCTCTCAAACTTGTCTCCGGGATCCCCAGTGAGTCACCTACTGACCTCTAAGCATCACCTGTCTCTTCAGAATATGTCCCCAGCTAAAATAAACCCAGATCTGTTTGGTGAAAATACATTTTATTTATACTTTTACTTGAATAAAACTGTATTTTCTGCACAACGTGTACCTGCAAGACCTTTTTTTTAAAAATATTTTTAGACTCATTCTGAGAAATGTTTAAACTGAAGCAGTTCTGAGAAGAACGAGTGTCCTAACAGCTGCTGCTAGATGAGTCAGCTAATTCTTGAATAGAAAATTGGTTTCTCTAGTTCATTCATCTGTGATTTGCATATTTTTTTAAATAAAAACCATTTACACGACGACATCTATGTTGTAAAAAACAATTGTCTCATAGATGAAGGCTGTCATACAAGGAGAGTAGCTTCTCCAAGAGTAAAAAACTACAAGTTCTATGAATAGTGCAGACACACACTTTCTCCATAGTAAATAAAAAAGTTCTGCATTTAGAAAATACCTGTTTTACTTAAAAAATAAAAACCACCAAAACTATCTCCTTTAATTACAGCTTTTGCTTCTCTGTACTCTGGTCTGGTCATTTGATGTGGCAAAATTAAGTCCCTGGTTGCTTTTTTTTTCAAAGCCAGTAACAAGTTTAGATTATTGTGTTCTTCTATTTTTACTGTTTCCTTCAGGTCTGCAGATTGTGTTGAAGTCTATCATGAAAGCTATGATCCCACTGCTCCAGATTGGCCTTCTCTTGTTCTTCGCCATCCTCATGTTCGCCATCATTGGCCTGGAGTTTTACAGCGGGAAGCTTCACCATACCTGCCAGCCATCGGACGACATTCTGGGTAAAATCTGCTCAAGCTGCTCTCTTAAAATCTGTCAAAATTTGGTCATGAAAAAAAAATTGGTTTCAACTATTTAAAAAGGACATATTAAGCAAAACTCACATTTTTTCTTTCTTTTGTGCTTCCATGTGGTTCCCTACTGCATAAACACTCCATCCGTGAAAACAAAAACCTGTCGATCTGTTTTCTGTCGGTGTTTGGTTTTAGGAATTATGTGTATAAAACAACCCATTTTTTAAAAAGTCCCTATTTGTGACATTTCAAACAGGAAAATGCAAGTCCCACCTACATAATGAGCTGCTTAGCTTATAGCAGCTGGAGTGCTGGGCCAGGTGGGCGTGGTCAGCTCCAGCTTGTTTTCTTAAAGCAACACTAAAGAGTGTCCCTCTTCTCTATCCTGCTGGAAAGTGGAATCACAACTGTCATACACGACCATGCAGCAACCTGCTGTAGCTAGCGCTAACAATGCACCAACATCGGCCAACTGGTTCAAATTAAGCCACAAAATAAAATGATGCACACCGTTGGACAAAAAATTATATTACCTACAAGTCACAACAAAGCAAGGTCACCGTCATGATGTCGTACCCTTCACTCAAACGAGTGTAGGCTACGTCAATGTTCGTTCGGGCTTTAGCTCTTTACTTCACCTCTCTTACATCTTCTTCCAGGCTCCCCCATGATACCAACAAAAAAGGCAAAATTCTTATTTTTCTTGTACCTTTTGTTAATGGTCAGCAAACTGAAAAAGCTTACTGCTAGTCTTACTAGCTACCAGCACAGTAAACAGCTATTGCCGTAAAGCAGATAGAGACCTCCCACTAGTGAACCTACCCATCCTAAAACACTGTTAAGTGAAGTTTGTGGTCAGCAGAGGGCTGCAGAGGGTTGTCTAATCCGAAGTTGGTAAAGTTTCAACCTCAAGAATCACCAAACCTAATTTGAAAGCAATAGCTTCATGTGTTAAAACCTCATTAGTGTTTCTTTAAAGTGACAGAGCCTTGAAATGGCTCATTCTGGAAGGTACTGAAAATGCCAAGAATGAAACTGCTGACATTATGTGAGACAGACTTTATGCAAAAAAAACTTCATAAACATATTTAGTATTAACCATATAGCTATTCTAATCATAATATATATTCTTCTGCGTGTAAAGTGCACCTGCTTCAACATCTCTGGGTGGTTTGGGGGGAATTTTTTTGACAGACTGAGAACAATTCACTATCAAGCATACTAAAACATGTGGTTTACTCAATTTCCTCAAAGAGAGGGTGTGAATATCTTTGTTTGAGGACTTAGATTGCAGTAGCAGCAAGCTCAGAGGTATTATTAGAGTTGATGCTGGCTGATTTAGCTGCTGCTTAATTAGTCAACAACTGCTCTGTAATCACACGCCACACCATAGTATTTACTGTCACTGGCCTGTTCTGAGATGGGCTGCGTCGACGATTGCAACACAAATCTCTTTAAAAACAAAGAATTCAGAGCAGCAGGAAGTAACGCTCACAAATCCAAAAGGTTTCAGATGAAGGCAGCTGGACTTCATTGCTTTCTTGAAGATGTTTTCGCTTCTCATCCGAGGAGCTTTCTCAATTCTAACTGGAATATGGGAGTGCACTTACACCTGAAGGACAAGGGACACACTTTTGAAGATGACAAAGTACACATTCTGGACAGAGAGGATAGATGGTTTCAGAGAGGAGTAAAGGAAGCTGTCTATGCCAAATGGGAAACACCTACATTAATTGAGGGAGTGACTTAGGTTTCACCTTTCCAGCACCTGTATGCAGCTCTGAATCTAATTCTCAAACAGTTTCAGTCTAGTTCACCCCCGCATACATCTAATAGACACGACTCCCTCACGATAGAGACCAACGACTCAACAGGGGGTAGAGAGGGGAGGTTTTCAGAGTGAGTTTCTGCTCATTGAGCGACAACAGGCAGTTACAGTTTATAAGCTTGACTCTCCTATATTTCTGTCCTAATTGACAAAGCTCCACGGATGAGAAGCAAAACGTCTTCAAGAAACCAAAGAAGTCCAGTTGCCTTCATCTGAAACCTTTTGGATTACCGTGATCTGGATGACTGAGAACCATCACTAGCGTAACACTCACAAATATTAATGAAAAGAGGCCGTTGTGAGATTGATACCTGACCTTTAATGTTTTTATCCTGGGTCTTGTTGAATCGGAAAAATGTATTCCCTTTAGAAATAAAAGCATTTCTTGGATTTAATGCTGTGAAGGTGAGAAAACAAAGTACATTTTCTGTGGAGGAGGACAACAGAATATTTAATGTTTGCAATTGTTCATCGTATTTTAAGTTGTTAAAAATAATTGAGCTCTTTGAGCTTAAAACTGTCGACTCCATCCCTCACAGCTATGTAGGAAACAACACTACACCAGCAGCCGGTCAGCTCTATATAACATAACGCTCATAAACAAACACTTTGATAATTGTCACGCAACCAAAGTGTGAAACAGACAATTTGTGGTTTTAAACACGAGTGTGAGCTGTACAATAAGATGGTTTCTTTACCATCCTCCACGAGTGTGTCACCGGTATCAAGTATAACATCACCATCTGCTGATTTCAGCTTCAGATGTGTGTGAGTTTCTCCTTGAACGTTTTATTGAAAATAAATCTTCTAAACCTTTTTTTAAGAGGTAATATTAGCCTTCATCTTCTTGAGCATCACTTGATTTTAGCATTCCTTCAAACTCAAGGGCAGTTTTATTATCATGTAGTTAAAAACATTCCCCTGATGGCATGAACGTTTGAAGGTAGAGCTCTTAGTTTGGACATTATGAAAGTATTGCAGTATGCAAAAACACAACAGCTATGTTTTATTTCTGTAGATAACGAGACGGTTGACTCATCGGAGCTGGCATTTGCGTGCGGTGTGAGGAGGTGTCCAGAAAAGTACGACTGCAACGACACCTGGATCGGGCCCAATGACGGCATCACGCAGTTCGACAACATCCTGTTTGCTGTCCTCACCGTTTTCCAGTGTATCACCATGGAGGGATGGACAGCTGTGCTCTACAACGTGAGCCCATGTTGTTGCCAACTACATGAGCCACACTGATTGCTTTTACATATTTATTTTTGTATATGTTACGGGTTTCAGACCAACGATGCGTTGGGTCCTACGTGGAACTGGATGTACTTCATTCCTCTCATCATTATTGGCTCATTCTTTGTCTTGAATCTGGTGCTGGGTGTTCTGTCTGGGTGAGTTTTCCTCTTCCTCTGTGTGCATAAAACAAGTTTTCTGTCTCGGTGAGTGTGTTGTGGAGAAAGACAGACGTTTGCCCGGTTCTCTCTTCAGAGAATTTGCAAAGGAGAGGGAGAGGGTGGAGAACAGAAGAGCCTTCATGAAGTTACGTCGTCAGCAGCAGGTGGAGAGAGAACTGAATGGATACAGAGCCTGGATAGACAGGGCAGGTACTGCAATGCTTTACGTCTTATATTGCAGTGGATGAGCAGAAATGTCCACTTTAATAGGATTATAATAAAGAAAACTGTGTTTTTAATCTGTTCGACCTTTTTTTTATTTTGATGATATTCACATTCAAATGAGAGGAAAGATTTAAGTGAAAAGAGCTTTTTGTTGCAAGAAAAACAATAATTTTCAATGCTGTAAAAAGGTCAAATTGTTCAATTTAGTGCATTAGTTAAAATTAGATATGTTAGTCATTTCTTTTCATTTTATTTATTCTTTTAAAGAGCACCTTCCACAACCCTTAGCAGAAGCCCAAGGTGCTGTACACGACAATAAAAACCAATCACACAAACAAATACAAAAACAGATAAAAAGTAAAACAATTAAAAACAAGGCTAAGTTGCAGACTCCAGTGGTGAAAATACCTGAACATAATAGTGGGCCTTCAGACTTGACTTAAAAATCTGGAGGGAAGGCGCCTGCCTGACTGTCAAAGGGAGACAGTTCCACAGAGTTGGAGCCTAAGCTGCAAACACACGATCTCCCCTTATCTGCACCTGGAGCGAGGGACCAGCAATGATCCTGGTGAGCAAAGAGAGAGGGTGGGGACATGCCTTCATAGCAAAGCCAATGAAGAAGATGCATGAAGAGCCCTATAAGCAAGCATCAGAACTTTAAACTTTGCTCTGTGCTGCGTGGGAAGCCAGTGAAGTTCCACCAACATGGGTGTAACAAGTTCACAACATCTTGTGCCAGTCAGACACCTAGCAGCTGACTTCTGTCATTTGTCAACATATCAGTATCAGTCCGATAAGAAAGACTGGGCCGATATTAAAGCCCAATATTTTTTCCATCTTGTTCTTCTTGTACTGGGACAGCAGCAGCTCAGGGGGTAGAGCGGGTTGTCCGGTAATTGGAAAGTTGCAGGTTCGATCCCAGTTCCAAGTAGACAATGCTGCTGTTGTGTCCTTGGGCAGGACACTTATCCCACCTTGCCTGCTGGTGGTGGTCGGAGGGGCCGGTGGCGCCTGTTTTCGGCAGGCCTCGCCTCTGTCAGTGTGCCCCAGGGCAGCTGTGGCTACATCGTAGCTCATCATCACCAAGGTGTGAATTTGTGTGATTGTGTGTGTGAATGGGTGTGTGAACGGGTGAATGACTGATTGTCTTGTAAAGCACATTGGGGGTTGTGGTGCTGTACAAATACAGGCCATTTATTTACCATTTGTGTATCTGTTTCAGAAGGTGAGGGGGTGATTATGTGTAATTGTTTAGTCATGTGACAATGATGGTAATCATCTCAGAAGTGTAAATGTGTGTGGTGTGTGTACATAATCACACACACGCACAAATATTGATTATCGATTAGCGATATTAATATAAAATATCGATACTGATTCAATGTTTCATATCGGTGCATCCCTAGTTAGAATGCATGAAAAACGTGTTGCACAAGTGGGTTTAGCTACAGTAAAAAGGCCAGAAAATGTTGTTAAATAACACCAGCATGATCTTTTTTTTGAACACGTATGTAAAGAACAATTTAAAGGTCTAAAACTCACAAATAAAGCAACAGATTCTTATTTAATTTTGCACAGATTTAGTAAAATTAGCAAGATTTATGAGTGCTTAAAAGGATATGTGTTAACTTTTGATTTAATTTCAGTCTCTCCTAAAGGACATCTTAGTTTAACTTTACCTGTGATAGTAACAAGGATTTGCTGCTTTAGCTTGAAAATGGAAACAAAGCTGTTTCAAATTTGAGGGTTGAGTCGGTATCGAGGCTTTTTGTTCTATGGTGAAAGCGATTGCTCTGCTGCAGACACTGTTAGAGTTTGGGATCTTCAGCAGAGTAGCAGAGAAGCACAAACATGCAGTGCTGTAATGGCAATCCAAGTCGCTGTACTCCCACGCAAGCAGAGGGTGAGAAAAAGGTGATACTGACTCACTGATTTAAATCTGAGTGCATGTACGTGTGTGCACGCTCGCTCCAGTGTTTACATGCATGTGTGTGCACCAGGGTGAGAGAATGAGAGACGCTGTGCATTTTTATGTAGGAGCGTGTGGGAAGAAGGAGGAGAAAAGAGAGGGGGATATTGCAGGAATATGAGAGAGGATGAGAATCTTCACAGAAGGTCACGTCGGCCCCTCAAAGCACAGCTTACATCAGCTCTTGCAAATGTTTGCAGACATCCTAAACTGTTCAACCCTGACGATTGTACATTTCCTTGTCTGATGGTTCGAGTTGTGCTTTGTGTGTAATCTGCAATTGTGTTGTTTCACACACAGAGGAAGTGATGCTTGCAGAGGAGAATAAAAACTCAGGGAGATCACCGTTAGATGGTAAGCTCACACACCCCAGGAAACACATCGTTTTCTTACAACCTTTAATTCATTGTAGACTTTCAGCTAAACTTTGAACATGAAATATTAAAATGGAGGTTACCATAGCAACAGGGCTTATACTAATTACCAGTTGGCACAGACTGAAGGTAAAATAACTGGAAAATAATCATTTGTCTTGGTGAGTGGGTTTGATTTTTAAAAGAATTAATACATGGTTTAAACCGCAAACAGCAAAATTACTTAAACATGTATATACAGTGTATATATATACTAATGTATTTCTCATTTATTTATTATTGTCATATATATACGACTTGCTAGGCATTCATTCCTACCAGAGACCACTGTAAATGTATTGATTAAACTAGTGTCTCACACTTTGAATTAGATTTGTTATTTTGTTTAAACTCTGACATTCTGATTAAGTTGAGTTTTTTGTGACTTTTTAGTGCTAAAACGAGCAAGTAAGAAAACCGGTGCACGGAGAGGAGCACCAGGAAGTGACAAACACACGGACACGTCTACAGCAAGTAAGTCTTTTTAGTTGCACTTTATTGTTTCTGTGAGCTTCTTCCTCCTTTCTTCACAGCTGGGGTTTCCAGCATGTTCATGGCCTGCTGCCAGTAGGGAAGCAGCAGCACACATCATTATATTAAATGACCAGTCAGAGATAAAAGGCTGGCTGTGGGTCAAAGCAGCTTTTTGTTGGTAATTTTTTTTTTACTTTTTTAAGTCATCATAGGAATTGTTTGATCTCTTGGTGAATTCTGAAAAATGTATGCACAAAATTCGCCATTTTCATGTAAAGCAGGTTGTTAAGGATTTTATCAATAAGTTTATCAATAACCCATTTCCTATAGTGAAGAGAAAAGGAGACAATGAGCAGACAAGTCAAACTGTTATAACTGTGGCATAATGCACGAGGCAAAAATGCCCCAAACATCTGGTCACAGAGTTTATTTATACCAAGAGATGAGAGAGAGAGAGAGAGAGAGAGAGAGAGAGAGACAGAGAGAGAGAGAGAGATTGTGTGTGTGTGTGTGTGTGTGTGTGTGTGTGTGTGTGTGTGTGTGTGTGTGTGTGTGTGTGTGTGTGTGTGTGTGTGTGTGTGTGTGTGTGTGTGTGTGTGTGTGTGTGTGTGTGTGTGTGTGTGTGTGTGTGTGTGTGTGCGTGCGTGCATGTGTGTGTGCACGCGCGCACGTGTGTGTGTGTGTGTGTCTGAGCATGCAAAGATCAATACATTTACATTCAGTTGATTGAGTCAATCATCAAAAATTAATAAACATAAATTTTTCCATAACACAGGTAGATTTCTAATCACTAATGTAGGACCAAGAAAGAGTTTTAGTCGGATTGTGTCAGAAATATTTTGTATAATTTATAAGATCCCTAACATTTTGGATATTTTACCTTTAATTTCATTGTTTTATTCACCTATCCTCCCGGTTTCTTTCTTTCTTCCTCAGACATGTCAAGATCAAGAATGAACTACCGTAGTGGTCGTCGCGGCCCAGCCGCCTACCTGCGACGTAAAGAGCGCATGCTGCGTATCTCCATCCGCCGCATGGTGAAGACAGACACTTTCTACCTGATGGTGCTCAGTTTGGTGGCTCTCAACACCATCTGCGTGGCCATCGTGCACCACGACCAGCCCGACTGGCTCACCGTCTTTCTCTGTAGGTTCCCAGAAAAAAAGACTAGAAAACAGTTTTTAATAAACTTGCTCTTTTCTAGTCTTGTCCTGCATCGTTCAGCTTTTTGAAATGACCGGCTTTGATTCCTTTCTGATCCACAGACTATGCAGAGTTTGTTTTCTTGGGGCTGTTTCTGGCTGAGATGTTTCTGAAAATGTACGGTCTGGGTTTCCGACTCTACTTCCACTCTTCTTTCAACTGCTTTGACTGCGGGGTGAGATCCTTCGTCTCTTATTGTGGTGGTGGTCGGAGGGACCGGTGGCGCCAGTGCTCGGCAGCCTCGCCTCTGTCAGTGCACCCCAGGGCAGCTGTGGCTACATTGTAGCTCATCCCCACCAGTGTGTGAATGTGTGTGTGAATGGGTGAATGACTGATTGTGTTGTAAAGCGCCTTGGGGAGTTCCAGGACTCTAGAAGGTGCTATATCAAATACAGGCCATTTATTCTGCCTACAAAATTGATTTTGTTTTACCTCATCAACTAAAAGCTTGTGGTGCACTATAAAGTGTTCGTGGTATGTTGTCTGCATGCCAAAAGTTAATTCTAAATTTTAATATTTAATTTATGGGTGTAATTAAGAATAATAATAAAATGTGTGTCTGTTTTCCACTTTCTTTCTTCCTGGTTTTTGCAGGTGATCGTTGGCAGCATCTTTGAGGTGGTTTGGGGCTTCTTCAGGCCCGGCATGTCGTTTGGCATCAGTGTCTTGAGGGCGCTGAGACTTCTAAGGATTTTTAAAATCACCAAGTGAGTGTGGCAGTCAGGTGAAAAGTAAATAAAAAACATGTCAGGTTGGATTTCTGGAGACACTGATGTTTTCTTTATCTTACAAGGTACTGGGCTTCTCTCAGGAACTTGGTGGTTTCCCTCATGAGCTCCATGAAGTCCATCATCAGCCTGCTTTTCCTTCTCTTTCTCTTCACTGTGGTGTTTGCGCTGCTTGGGATGCAGCTTTTTGGAGGAAGGTACGTTTTATTTGTTGTCATTACAAATTTCCACCCTACATTTCCAGTCATTCTGCAGGTTTGACATCTTTAAAGAAGATGCGAGGAAGGAAAATGTCTAGAAAACAGGAAAAATTAAACCTCGTTGTATCCTCCTCCTATCATATCTGACCCTGATCTCTTTCTGCTTATCCTCCAGGTTCATCTTTGAAGATTACACTCCCACCAACTTTGACACGTTTCCAGCAGCCATCATGACAGTATTTCAGGTTTGGCTCCCTCATCCTGCCTGCTCTCCATGACACATTGCACCCTGGGATATATCTCACCCCAGGCGCAGATTAAACAACTCTTCTCACCCGCTCTCCGCCCCCTGCCTCCACAGCCATCCCACACATCCAAGCACACATATGCGCACATGAATATCCAACAAGGGAAACGTGAATGGTCCACATCAGATCAGAACTGTGAAAAGAGTGTTTTGATCAGCAAACAGTAATTATTATCATTCCACTGGTTTAAATACTCTATTGTTAGCAGACGAAGGGGCACATCTTCTCTTTTTGATTATTCTGGAACCCTAAAGCGAGCAGCATCATTATTTCTGCCTAATATTCTATAACTTTAATTATCTGCAGATTTTGACTGGAGAGGACTGGAACGAGGTGATGTACAATGGGATTCGCTCACAAGGAGGCGTTCAGTACGGCATGTGGTCATCCATCTATTTCATAGTGCTCACGCTGTTTGGTAACTGTATCCTTGTTGACCTCAGAAGTGGTCAGAAAGCTCTGATGTAACCAGGATCCTTTTGCTCCATTAGTAGAGAAATGTTCAGTTAAAAGCAAGTCAACAGAATCCTTCAAATATCTGATCGCAATCAAAGTCCTTCAGTTAAAAGTGCACCAGCTTTACACCGTTTAGGTCTCTGCTTTTTGCAGATGATGTGATCTCCAGCTTTCGCTGGAGTGGTTCACAGCTGAGTGTGAAGCAGCTGGGATGAGAATCAACTCATCTAAATCTGAGACCATCTTGAGTCGGAAAAGGGTGGAATGCCTTCTCCAGTTCAGAGACGAGGTCCTGCCCCAAGTGGAGGTGTTTAAGTATCTCGGGGGATCGATGGGCAGATTGGTGCTGCTGCGTCTGCAGTGTTGTGGACGTTGTACCGGTCTGTCGTGATGAAGAAGAAGACGAAAAAGTAATCTTTTACATAACGCCTCTCAGGATTAAAATCACGGGCGCTTCAAAATATCAACATTTTTTAAATAAACAAATAAAAGAGAGAGAGTTGAGCCGGAAGGTAAAGCTCTCGAATTACCGGTCAATCTACATTCCTACCCTCACGTATGGTCACAAGCTTTTATAGTGACCAAAAGGAGATCACGGACACAAGTGGTCGGAGGTCATTTTCTCTGCAGGGTGTCTGGGTTCTCCCTTAGGGAAAGGGTGAGAAGCTCGGTCATAGTATCCGCTGCTCCTCCACATCAAGAGGACCAGTTGAGGTGGCTCGGCATCTAGTTAGGATGCCTTCTGGACGCCTCCCTGGTGAGGTTCTCCGGGCACGCGCAACAGGGAACCTAAATGAAGACCCAGGACACGCTGGAGGGGCTATGTTTCTTGCCTGGCCAGGGAACGCCTTAGGATTCCCCTGAAGGAGCTGGCCCAAGTGAGAGGGAGGTCTGCGCCTCCCTGCTTGCGCGGCTGCCCTCACCCAGGATAAGCGGCCAAAAGTGTATGGATGGATATCTAAAATACAATAGATTTGACCTAAAAATATACATGATTACCTGTTCAGGGCGTATGATCATATATGGCAGCTTTGATTTTCATGCTGTGATTTCACAAAATTTGGCGCATCATAGCCCCATGCTGATTGGTCGAACATCGCCATGGCACAAACTGACTAACTTGATCTCTGATGAATGGTTGGTTGAAATCCTATAATTCTAGAAAGCTGTGAAAAGACACACTAAGACATAATTTATGATGTAAGTGGAAGTATCCTAATGTAGATGCTGACCATATAAAGGGTTAAAGGCAACGAATTAAGTTTCTAAACCATTTAAAGATTTTCCACTTCTCTCATATCCACTCTTGATGAGCTCAGATCATGTTTATGCACTTCATATATTACTGATGAGGCAATGCAATAGTTCTTGAAATACAATTTTGTTTTAAATTGATTTGATTTGTCCGATTAAAACAAATAGAGCACCAGTCCAGCATCTTTTTGTCCCTAACGTCGTTTTTGACAGACACCCTGCTCAATGTCTTCTTGGCCATCGCTGTGGACAATCTGGCTAACGCGCAGGAGCTGACCAAGGTTTATTTATTTATATCACTTTATCAGTGTATGTATATTTTTAATGCTTATATTTGGTCTCGTCCTCTAAGGTAACTGTTGTGTACATGTTTGTTTTCCCAGGATGAAGAGGAGGAGGAAGAGTTCTTCAATCAGAGGTATGCAAGAGGAAGAGACGGCTTGATATCTGAGTAAGTTACTGACAAAAAACTTTTAAAAACTGAAATACAACAAACGATTCTTGATAACAGTATGTCACAATTCATCTAAATCTTTTGTCCTATTAGAGCAAACCATAAAAGATATCCAACTATTTGAAATATGACTTATATGGATGATAAGAGCATGAGTGTTAGAGAATAAATGGACCAAAGATGAGTATTGCAGCAGCAGCTGTGAGAAACACTTGATGCTACATCCAAGTTTAAAACCGACAACAGAATTGTGAATGCAAACCGAATGGGCCGGATTTAAAAGCACGATTCATGAAAAGGTTGTTTCAGCTGCTGCTCTCCTTAAATGTTGTGGTCGGTGAATCATCCTGGACAGCTGGTTTCATTAATGAGAGGAGGATAATTCCCTGCTCCTTTCAATAACCCGATAACTCGAGGAGAGGAGGGTTGGAGGTGGGTTTTAAAAGGTTACGTTCCACTGTGGGGTGGCTGAATGTGTCACTATTGGGCCATTCCCATCTGTACCGGGTCGGCCCGGGCCGGGTAGCCCCAGTCGGCCCCAGCCTGGCCCGGTTGATTCCACACATCCTTGCCTTAAGCCCATGTGGGCTGATTCTACCCACCAATTAGAGGCTTGCTCTAATGGAAGGTGTGAATTTGCTGTCAGCAGTGGGTGTGTTGGCCCTGGTCGGCCTGAAGCAGACCCCCTCGAGAAGAGGGCTGAGAATGAGCCTTGGTTGGCCTGGAAAAATACCAGGCCACCCAGATATGTAAACAACCTATGCTACCCGGCCGGGGCCGACCCGGTACAGATGGGAATGGCCCATATGTAATCTGACTGATCTGATCAGGTTGTGACAAAATCTTTCACAAATCACTTCAGTGTCTTTAGCTTGATTTACTCATTCTGATTAATAAATATAAGATATTTCCTCATTTTTAATGTGAAAAGATGGTGACATATTACCATGGAAACCATAAAAACGACTAGCTTTGACTCTGACTGTATCATTTGTCTGTTGCATATATGAATGTAAGTCTTGTAAGTGTTGCAGCTATCAATATGCAGATTTGATGTGAGTTTTTCCGGCTCCATCTTGTCGTCTTGTTTTATTCTTGTTGCGTGGCACGGAACAAAACCTGTTGAAACCAGTTTTCCTAACTCTGAAGCTGGATTAAGAGCATTAAATCCATTTTCATGTTATTAATATTTAAAGGTGTGGTTGACTGAAAAACAGTTTTTAATTATTATTTCTGATTATAATCAGTCGCTCTGAGTTTTCCATGCAGGTTGAATATGAAAATAGTCTCCTACACCATCTCCTGCATTAGCTTCTGATAGAAACTTGATGATGAAAATCTAGGGTTTGAAAATCCTCACAGATCTACGTCACACTGTGAATTAGTGTTTGTGGACTCGCCCATCTAGATTTGTGACGGGGAAGGCTGTTGTTTTAACAGAAACAGCAGCAGACGTCTCAGATAGTTTAAGCTAACCATTAGCATTAGCAACACCAACACATAGGCCGTGTTCAAGATGAGCCAGTCCTGCGCAGATTAGATCACTGATGATCGGCGCCGTGCATGCCGGTTAAATTTCTGTCCGACTTATTGGGCAGGTGTTTCAGTTTCTAACAGGCACCAGAATTGAAGTTAAAAATTAAACAAGTATGAATGCTAACGCGATATCTTCAGCCATCGTCACTCACAAGCTACATGTAGGGAAATCTGTCTGACGTAAATGCCGGCTTTCAGCCACTCCCCCTGCTGCTTCTGTGTGCTCTCGTCTGTTTTCCAGGTGAGGCGCTGCTCAACTCGAACAAGGTCATGGTAGAATCTCCTCCAGGATTGTGTTATTTGTGGAGATAAAACATCAACATTGCAAGTCAGCGTTAGAGTCGTGGTGCTGTTATCCAATCTCAGGCGAGATGTCCAAATATAAAGAAATAAGACTCCAGATCCTACCGTCGGAAGCTCAGCTGTGATGTGGGCCAATTTGAGGCCCGCCAATTTGTGCACCAGTATATTTTTCCCCCTGAGAACGACTTACAAGGCATTCATTCCTACTAGAGACCACTGCAAATGAATTGATTAAATGAGTGAACCACACCTTTAAGTGCTGACTCCCCAGCTCCTTTTGTTCTGTGCCACAACAAATGTTCTGTGTATGTTGTAAACCACTAATGTCTTGTTTTCAAATAATCACTCATTGATTACATGGATCGCAAAAGAGTCTGACCTTCAGTAAGTATGACTGAATGCATTTCTGTCTCACAGAATTTGTCTCTTGAGTTTCCCTACTTGGATTTATGAGATTATTTTGTAGATGTAACACAATGTTTGCACTTTAATCCTACACCTTTTTTTTTTGGTTTCGTTCATGTGGGATTTGTTCTCCTCGTTCACTTTTTAACTGTTCCCTATCTTGATATTTCGTTTGTTTTGTTTCTATAGTTTCTGGATGTCGTTTTGCACCCTTTTTTTTCCATGGGAATTTTATTTTTTTGTGCACTAATCAACTAATTCATAGAAAAGGTTTTTGCCCTTTTCTTGCAACTTTTATTTCTGTCAATAACTTTTTTGCTAAATGATTGTCTGTGTTTCATGTCACCAAGTCCTTACAGATAGGCCCGTTCCTGCTTTATATTAACGCGTGCATCATATTGTGGTCTTTTAGTGGCAGAAGAAGACCGTATCTCTACAGGAAACGAGCCATTCATAGAGGGAGGCCAACTTTTCCAGATGACCCCGATGGTCCAGCGGGGGCTGCGGATGAGCAGCCTCCTAACGGCTCCAACGCCTTTGCAAACCGCCGTGAGAGGAGGAGGAAAGTCAACATGTCAGTGTGGGAGCAGAGGGCCAACCAGCTACGCAAACGCCGTCAGATGGCAAGCAGAGAGGAGTTGTTTGGAAACCCGGCAGAGGACACTGCTGAAACTCCCACCATCCCCCACCATGCTCCTGCTCATTCCCCAGAGCCCAGCCCAGCTCACCTGCCTGAGTCGCCCATGTCGGTTGGGATGCCCTTACCCGAGCCGCCGATGTCCATCTCCATTCCCGAGCCCCCAGCAGCTGAGCCTCTTGTAAATTTAAGCGAGGAGAAACCATCGGGAACAAATCACCGGCCTGCAGGAGGTGGCAGGCACAGGATGGCCCGGAGGTTCAGGACAAATCAGGGGCCGGAGGAAGGGGCCCGGCACAGACGCCACCGCCACCGTGAGGCCCGAATTGAAGCCAAGAGTCTGGACTGTACGCAGTCGCCCCATGAGGTGCTTCATGTGAGGCGTTCACAAAGCCACGAGAGGAAAATTATTGATGAAAGAGAGGAGAAGGACGAGAAGGAGGAGAGTGAGAAAGGAGACGGAGGAGGAAGGGGACCTCTAGAGGACGATGAAGGTGGAACATGCATCGTCAACCCGTACGCGGACGTTGGCGAAGACTGTAAAAGGTAAAGTTTTCTTTTTCGCTAATTTGCAAGATAAGAAAAGTTACGAGGTCCACATGAAAGGAAGTTCAGTAACACTTTACTAAAAGGGTCTCTTTATTAACATTAACATTGTTAACTAGTATTAAGTGTCCTTAAAGTGACAGTGTGTATTTCCGCTGGCGATGGGGGGCAGTACATGCCCAAATCATTGCAAGCAAGCAGTATTTTTGTATTGGAGTAAGACCTAACCAACAGATGGCAGTTAGGGTCAAAAGTCCCTGGGAATGCAACCTCCAACAAAATAACAAGCACATCAAACTCCTTTTCTGCTTGGTAATGCATTACATAATACAGTTACGTAGTTGCTAATATGTTAGAAAATGGTTTATTAATGCTTAATAATGCACTAAGTAACTTTAATAAAAGGATCCTTACTGTACCAGAAGTTCTGTATCCTCCATTAAAGCTGTCTAAAATGTGTCTTCCTTCCAAGTTTATATTCACAAAACTTTTGGGTTATGATGTAAATGTAGTCAGTCGATACATAACCATAATCTATTTACATTCAAATTCCAATGTCAGTTAAAACAGAAGTGTCAGGTGTGCAAACCCTGCTGTATTGTGTTTTATTTTTTTCCATTGCAGAGATGCCACTCACAGCTATGGTCCTTCACAACGCCAGCCACTGCTGGACTGTAACTGGTTAGAGCAAGGGGGGTGTGCCAAAATCGATCAGCATGAACCCCTGAGCCAAAACATCCCAGTGGAATCTGCTTTAGAGGCCACAGAGTACACTGTGAGCACCATCGAAGCTGAAAAACGCAAGATCTCCATCAAACGTGACAACAAATCCAAAATGGAGGGCAGCGTGGCCATCGAAATGTCTGCACAACCGTTTTTAGAGCTCACCCCAGTGACAGGTAGAGAAGTCTGCTGAAGCCACATCATGGGGTTCTGTGTCAGTATCACTGTATCACCATGTGAAGGTGATATCTATCATCAGTGGCCACTAGAATGTCTTCTTTGCAGGATGTGCAGATGACTCATGTTGTTCTTTGTCGTAGGTGTCCACTTAGAGCTGAAATGTTGTTTTCCTTCCACCTTTCTGTCTGTGCAGTAGTGAACAGTAAAGAGTTGGAAGCATATGAGTCGGACGAGCAGGAGAAAGAGGAGGAGACTGAGGAGGAGGAACCGCCAGTGCCTCCTAAACCTGTAGCTCCTGACAGCATGTTCATCTTCAAAGCCTCCAACCCGTAAGACGCAGCAAAATCCACAAGACACCAATTATCACATGCAGTTCAGACAAAATTAAACATCTAAACGTATTTTACTCCACAGTATCAGGAGAATTTGTCACTATGTGGTCAATCTTCGCTATTTCGAGATGACCATCCTCCTTGTAATCGTGGCGAGCAGCATTGCGCTGGCAGCTGAGGACCCCGTTTGCACAAGTTCAGACAGAAACAAGGTGAGATCAAACTACATCTCCATGAAAGTGGTAGCAGATCACGTCATAATTTCACTTGTCTTTTTAAAAATGTTGTTCACTGAAAAAACAAGTAAAGCTTTCTCTATTGCAATGCAATCGGCCAATTTGTGTTGCATCACCTGCATTAGCCAGAAAGAAAACAGACGGGAAAAACGATTGGGTCAGAAAAAACCAGTGTCGCAGAGAAAATTTACATTAATGGCCCTGCCCACATTGGCTTGCTATTGCAGAAGGCTATATTGATTTTGTGGCACGGAGAGAGTAGAGCACGTCTCAGCTAGTAGAAGCTAACCATTAGCAACTCTACAACATGGCGGAATTCATCAGGCTTGTGTTGCTTGTGGAGATAAAACATATATGTAATTTTAGCTCAAGAAAGAAGAACAAACAGAAGCAGCAAAAGAGTTGCACTGCTGTTAGCCAATCAGAGGCTAGATATTTGTGTGTCATGAATATTAATGAGTAAGATTTGTAATCTTGATGCTTAAAAAACTCTATGTTGGGTAACAGGGCACATAAAGGAATAGGATTCATTGATCAAAGCATACTTGTTGCTAAATTAAAAAAAAACAGAATGCAGCGGCGCGTCTGGTCTTCAATCAGCCTAAAAGAGCACACGTCACCTCTCTGTTCATTGAGCTCCACTGGCTACCGCTAGCAGCATGCATCAAATTCAAATTGCTAACACTAGCATACAAAGTCCGAGACGGTACGGCTCCCATCTACCTGAATCCTCTTGCAAAGGCTTACGTCTCGGCCCGGCCGCTCCGGTCATCACAGGATTGTCGGCTAGCAGTGCCTACACCACACTCAGGACAATCCAGACTTTTCTCATGCATCGTTCCACAAATGTGGAATGACCTTCCTAACACTACCAGAACTGCGGCTTCCTTTTCTATTTTCAAGAAACTCCTGAAGACCCTGCTCTTCAGAGAGCATCTTCTTAACTAGCACCTTGTCTGCACCCGTCCCTCCTCTCTACTGTCCACTCCTTGTTCCCTCCTCTCCATGACTGATGCCAATTTGTTGTTGTTACTATTGTTGTTAGCCTCAAGGGCAAAATGCCGATTATCACTTGTAAGTCGCTTTGGACAAAAGCGTCTGCTAAATACATAAACATAAACATAACATAAACATTTTGGTTTACTGATAAATCAGAACTTGCCCTGTAAAGGGGTTTTGCCAACAAACTCAGATACACACCTCCCTCAGATACAAAGATGCTGATTTTGTGGATAAGAACATATCTATGTGCGGTGACGTTAATTTAACTTGCGTCATGGAGATATGGTGATTGTGTCTTGTCCAGTCAGTACGCTGATTAAATATATGGGTCATATATTTCATTTAATCCTTATTAATCTTTCAGTGTAATACAGTTTTTCTCAGATGCTTTGGTGCATTTCTCACAACAGAATTAAACTTTGCACAACAGTTAGTTCAACCTCCACAACATGTAGTCGATTTGGCACAGCCTAGTGGCGGCAAATGCCTTCGGACATGAAGCAGTTGAGTAAGTACAAATATCTAAAGAATGGTCACTTTTGACTTGCTATTCATCACTATCTCCTTGCTTTTATCATGAATGTCACAATTATTTATACTTGTACCGGCTGAATAGTCATCGTCCTTACAACTAATAGTCTTCACTTCATTGCTTGTGTCATTGCACTCAATATTGTTGAACATCTTGTCAAACAGTTTGTACATCCATTTTGAAAGCCCTATTTTTAAGGAGCTTCCATGTAAATCTCCATAAATTACTTTTCTCAGGTGAACCTTATCTCACACTAATGAAAATTGGTGTGTGTCCTGTTGACAATCGGACAATGTGTGAAGTGGTTTGGGATAACGCTAGCTTCCATCACTCTGCTGTAGTCAGCCAGTGGTTTGCAGCACACGACAGGATGCTTATGGAGTTTCTTCCTCCTTACACGCCATTCCTAAATTCAATTGAGGAGTTTTTCTCTTCCTGGAGGTGGAAGGTATATGACAGGCATCCACATACCCAAATGACCCTACTAGCAGCTATGGATGCAGCTTGTGATGACATCACAGCAGAGTCCTGCAGAGGGTGGATTTGACACTCCAGAAGATACTTTCCCCGATGCATTGATAGAGCTGACATTCCCTGTGATGTTGATGAAAATATGTGGGCAGACAGACGGGAGCGTCTAGATATCAATGATTGATATGCAGCAGTGTCTGTTCAGTTTTTTTTTGTTTCATAACTACTGCAGTAAGGTTTACTGTCGACGTTTATGTTTGCTGTAAAATGTTTGTTTTACTGTATTTCCCCAGTTGCACAATGCTGTGAACAGTTTCAATTAAATATTATCAAGAATGCATATGAAGTGTCTTGATTTTCCTTTACAATTTATGGTTTTCAACATGCCATGCATGCTGTCCACACTTGACATGTCATTGGGAAGCACCTACAAAGAAATCCGTCACAATGAGAACATGTTCAAACCATTTGATTTTGTGACCAAAGGTGCTGGTGTAATGACTTGTAATTGTGACAGCCCTGACACTTTGATTGATATAAGCACTTGCTTTTGATGAATGTATTATCTGTTTTGATTAAGGGACTTGCTTTTGAAGCATTGACTACTTATTTTGAGCAACTGCCTTGCTTTTGAACAACTGACTTCTTTTTGATGAAGTGACTCACTTTTGCAAGTTATCCACCATGTTTTGCAGTTTGCACTAATTGTTTTGAGAAGAGCCTTAGTAATGGTGCAGAGATCAATTCTGTTGTGAGAAATGCACCAAAACAACTGAGAAAAACTGTAATGATATTCATTTCAACTTCTGTAATTAAGCACAGATTAATCAAAACATTTCATTTTACCATAATGTCCATTTCATTATATGATTAGTTACTCATATTGTTCATCCGTCTTGTTCTGTGAATAAAAGCAGTCTGAGATAAGCGGAAAGCTTGAGAGGGACCTTGGCCAAGCAACAGTATCTTTCTTGCCGATTAAAGGCACCAGTTAAGACTTATGTCTCCAAATGGCCAGATACTGAAGAGATCGTCAGACTGAAAACTGACCATTTCTGGAGTCTACAGTTGTAGCAGCCATAACCAATTATCATTATCCTCCAACCTTTCATTATAAGATTCCAGAGAGGACGTTTAAGCTCAGTGCTGCTGTCAGGTTGCATCTCTAGTTGACACATCGCTGTTAGCATCAATGTGTCGTCACACATCAGCTTCACCCACACACACAAGGTGAGAATCAGCCGCTCTCCCTGGCAAATCGCTGTGCAGTTAGTTTCGTTCGCAACTTCCTTTTTTACGGCATTATTGGGTGTGTCATGTGTGAGCAGATTAGCACACATTAGTGCACCGGAATGATCCGAGAGAACAAAGAAAACGTATCAATGGCAGACAGTTGCTGTATTCTGTATCCACTGACGTCACCTGCTGTTCGAAGAGCTCCAGCAACGTGGTTTTGTGTTGCTGCTCTACTTTTGAAGGAGCACATGACAATTTAAAAGACAGTCCCACCAGCCTTACATATAAGGTGTAGTTGTATGGCACTGTCACATCTGAGACAAGAATCCTAATGATTATGATGTCATCAAGGTTATTTCAGCTGCACGTAAACAAATGCTATTACTTACTGAGCGTTTGATAAGTGTTTATCTGCACTGAGGTTGATTTTTCTTTTTTTAAATTGGTCCCATGAGTCACCAACCTAAAAGAAGTGCTGCACTACATTATTGGTGCATCACTTTCAGGAGTGGCAACATTATTACATCTGAAAAAAATAAATAAATAAATAAAAAACGAGTGCCCCTGAGCCCAACAATTTTCTACATCTATGTTTGTAATAGTTTCAGCTCAGTAATTACCAACATAGGGTTTGGGGATCAGTCTAACTCCTGGGTTCATTAGTTGTTGTTTTTTTTTTTGTTTGTTTGTTTTTGATCACCCAGGTGTTGCGATATTTCGATTATGTCTTCACCGGAGTGTTCACCTTTGAAATGATCATCAAGGTGAGTGAAATGGGTCTCCACTGTTATTTTAACTTTGAATTCAAGTCCCATTCCCAAGTGTCTTTTTCTGTCCTCCAGATGATAGACCAAGGTCTCATTCTGCATGATGGCTCTTATTTCCGTGACATGTGGAACCTCCTGGACTTCATAGTCGTGGTGGGAGCTCTGATCGCCTTTGCTTTAACGTGAGTCACTATATGGTGCAGCCAGCTCATGACTAATGACTGACTCACTGCAGCACATAACTTTGTGAGTGTACTTTACTGGTGTAAACTACCTCTCCTACCAGACAAACTGCCTACAGAGGCACATATGATCTTCTGAAATGTGTTTAAACTTCCACCACAGGGTGACAACCAGGCAAAAGAGTCTGTAGATTTTTTTTCTGTTGCCTCTTCCTGGTATGCATGTGATGGATAATAAATAAATAACTTACTAACACTGTTGTGCAGTTTGTTGTACTGAAGAGAAGTTTTACTGTATGTTAATTTTTCTGTTGTTAATATAAATGTGATGTAACTTTCTTTATCCCTTTATTTTATTTTCTCTGTTGTTCCTATGGATGTTGTCACTGTTGGGGGCTACCAGGAATGTGATGGGGTAAAATTTTCCTTGTTGTGAACTTCTCTTCCATAAATTTTACATGTTTTTCCTCTTGTTTCTATCCATCTTGGTGTTTTTTTATGTTTTGTACATTTTTTTATTGATTTATTTTTTTGTACAGAAACGTAGAGCTGCCACTCATGCAAAATAAAATTCAAGCAATATCACGTGATAACTTTATTGTTAACTTTTCACATTTTGACAAGATACTATAATGGTTTTATAAAACCAATTTCTGTCACGTTTGTGCAATAGAGTAATAATGTACAAACGTGATGTATAATGTGAGAACATGATAATGCTTATTAGAACAAAATTATCATGGGACAAACTCCAGCTGTCAAAAGTGAAGCCAAACCGGAAGTGACACAAATTGCAATTCACCCTACATCCACTAGGGGCTGGCTCTAGAAAGGAGCAAGTTCCCATTTACTTCCATGTTGGAAATACGAGCTTCACAGCAGAAATAAACATGTTTACAGCCTGGTACAAAAACACATTTTAGGTTTACCCACAAGACAACTCTGAAGAGTGAGTTTTTTGTTATTTTGAATACTTAGGGGCATTTTGGGTCCTTTTGATGCTGTCAGTGCTAGTGCAAGCGGCTTGCTCTCCTGCTTGCTTTAAGGCCTCAGCTTTATGTTATTAGTGTTACAGCCTAGAAGACTGAGAGTAGCAGTCGCTCAGCCACAGTTTTCCTGCTAAAAGTGCCTGCTAACCTCCATTAGCTTTGGTTAGCTCAGTTAGCTTGTAGCTACATCGTGTCAGAGTTTGTTGGGTTTCACACACCTGCCCTCACCCTATGCTCCCAGCTCATTTTTATTTTTTTTCGGGAGTGACAAGATGCGTGACGCAGCCAAGATGGTGGTGGTGGGAGCTGCCCATTGGGCTTCAGTTCAGTGGTGACATCCATATTTCCCACACTAACTGGTATTGTTTCAATTTTATTTCACATAGCAGCTCTACGTTGCCGTATTTTTGTATCTCAAAAAATTGCAAATTAGGATTCTGGCCGGTATTAGGAGTAAAACCACTGAGTATTTATTTATCACAAAAATGCTGACAATTATTCTTGTATTATAACACAAGAAAATTATAAAAGAAATGCTAATGCTTATTTTTCTCCATCCCAATTTCTAAATGTGCCTTAATTAAATGCAAACATCACATTTAAAGAAGAAAACTCCATAAATCATTGAATTAAAGGGAGAACCTTCCCTTCATATCTGCCAGTTTCCAAACAAACACCTTCTAGATTTCGTTCTCTTTTGTTGTGCTTTTCTTTTTGCAATTTTGACATATTTTTTCTCTCAGTTTGTGTCTTTAAGTGCATGTCTTCGTTGCTTATCACTTCTTTTCCATGTCAACAGAAACAACAAAGGACGAGACATCAAAACAATAAAGTCCCTCAGAGTTTTACGAGTTCTGCGTCCACTTAAAACCATCAAGAGGCTTCCTAAACTCAAGGTCTAATTAAAAAAAACACGTGTTTAGTGATTTATTTCTTTTTTCCACAGACATCTGACAGGTTTAAGTTTGCTTTGCCTCCTTCTTGTCTTTCTCCACAGGCGGTTTTTGACTGTGTGGTCACATCTCTAAAGAACGTCTTTAACATCCTCATTGTATATCAGCTCTTTATGTTCATCTTTGCTGTCATAGCGGTCCAGCTCTTTAAGGGGAAGTTCTTCTATTGCACTGACAGCTCCATGAAATCCGAAAAGGAATGCCGGTATGTAAATGTCAGAACTACAGACTCACATTAGTGTTTTGAAAAGGTATGAACAGCATATGTGTAGAAATCCTCCTACATGTTGTCACTTTCTTTGAGCATGCACTGGCACACTATACAATGGTGGGATTGTTTACATAAAACCTAAAAAATTGTCCAAATCCTCGTATTTATTCATATATTTCTTGCTGCTTTACATAAAGTTAAAGCAAATCATTTTTTTGACGTTTTGTGAAATATGCATGAGAGCTTTTCACTACAAGAAAGATTTGTCTTGTTTATTTTTTATTTTTTTCCACAATTAGAAGGTAAAATTGACATCTGTTACGTTAGATGTCAAATACTCGTTATTTCAGTATATGTCCTGTGGTCTCTAGTATGAACAAATGCCTTGTGAGTCATTTTCTGTGGATAAAAATCTCTGGCGCTTCTGTTTCAGGAAGTAGACGTTAGTCGGAAGAGTGGGGGGTAGAAAAAAGCAGGATTTGGAGTCGTACTTGTTAATATTCATCATATGCAAACATCTTGCCTCTGATTGGCTAACAGAAGCGCAACTCTTCCACCGCCTCCATTCCTTTCTTTCTTGGGTAAAAAAATGCAATGTGGATGTTTCATCTCCACAAATAACACAAGCCTGAACATGTTCTGCCTTGTTGTGTAGTTGCTAATGCTAATAGTTAGCTTCCACTGGCCAAGAACCTTTTGCCGTTGCAAGCCAAGATGGGCAAGTCCACTAATGTAAATTTTCTTTGTGACATAAAGTTGTCTGGCTTTTTCTGACCCAAGCATTTCTCATGGGGGGTTTTTGGCGGCTATGCAGACGGTAAGGGTTGAAACTCAAGAGGGAACGAAAGCCATAATTACAAAAAAAATAACATAATATAAAATAGCTTACACCCTAATTAAACAGAAACGAAAATACAATTTTAACTGTTTTTAAAAGCTATTTAATAGTTTGCATTCACAGAAAATTCTACATTTAGTTTATTGGGATTTTCGACATGGACATTTTCACAGAAGCCCACAATGAGTCATAAAAGTGCATGCCTTCAGTATTTCGAAATTGCTGGCCTTTGATTGGCTGCAGAGTCCTATGTTTAACCATTATCGGTACATGTTTCCTCTTTAAATCTTTAAATAAAGTCTTGTGACTTGTGACACTTTAGTAGTTTCTAACAGAAGTCAGGCCTCTTTGGGATTTCTGAAAGTATCTAAATTTCCCTACCAGACAAAAACACGTAATTGCTCACTGATATTTCCTAAAACTACACAGCATTACCCTGTTTCTATTAGAAAATGGCTCTGTCTGTTTAAGCTTTGGTATAAATGTGAAAAACAATCATTTTCATACCTTTCATTAAAACTACAGGTTCTGAGACGATGACCTGCAGTCTGCTTTATTCCCTGCAGAGGCTTGTACATTGACTACAGCAGAGACAAGAAAGAGGTCAAGAGAAGAGAGTGGAGAAGACACGAGTTTCACTACGACAACGTCTGCTGGGCTCTGCTCACACTTTTCACTGTGTCGACGGGAGAAGGATGGCCTCAGTGAGTGGATTTTAAAACACACAAAAGTTTAATTCAACACTAAAGAGTTTTTAACACTTTAAGCCAGTGGTACTGAGAGCTGGTATCCAGCATGTTTTAGTTTTAACTCTGCTTCAACACACCTGATTTCAATCAGCAAGTGATTATCAGGCTTCTGCAGAGCCTGGTGAGCTGCTAAACAGGTGAATAAACTGCTAAATTTGTTGTCTTGGAGAAGAGAAACAATGAAAACATGCTGGAAACCGGCTCTCCAAAACCAGGAGTGACTACAGGTTGGTTTATGCTTGACGCGTCCGCGAGGTCTGCACGGCTCCGCGCGGAAAAGTTGCGTCATTTTGCGTCATTTTAACAACCACGCCCCTCCACCGCGTCTCCGCACGGCCCAAGATTTCCGCAACGCGCACCTCGGAAAATTTCTAACCACGCAGACGGTCGGACGCGGAAAAACATGGCGGACCGGCACGGCAGAGGTTCGTAAATACAGACATTTGTATGATTCAGCTCTCAGAGATCACCATGATCAACATGTTGTTAATAATTCTTGGAGAGAAATAGCTCACACTGTCGGAAAAGACGAGAACGCTGTTAAAAATGCTGAAATACCATGTTGTAAACTGTGATTTCTACTTCTACTATGGTGTAGTGTTGGATGCATGCTGTAGAGCTCCTTGCTGCCCCGTTCAGTTTGGGAGAATATTGGCTCACCGCAGAGACGAGCCGCACAAACCATAAACGCTGCGAGTTGTGAAGCGCGCTCCAGCCGCGAGCCGCATCACCTCGCGGAAAGTGAATGCATCAAGCATAAACCAAGCTTACCACAGCTTTAAGCTACTGCTTTCAAACTGGTTTCAGTGATTCTTGATCTATATGAGAAGCTTTACATCAGACAGCACTCTATGGCCCTCTGCTGGCCTAAAACTGCTCTACAAAACTTTGGGGGTTCAGGTAGGCACCAGTGGAAGGTATCTACCTTCTTTATGGCAACAGCAGACAGGTGGAGCACCGGTCAGGGTGGAGTTCACTGTGCCAGTAGCTTATACAAAGGCTAGCAGTTTGTTTGCCGACCCTTAAAGTAGCTTTCCGGAGTTTTCTACTTTTAGAAATTATGTATGGTTTTTCAGAAATTTGTAAAAGTGATTATCTTATCATGTACTGTGATATAATGTAAGCAATACTCCTTTTTTTTATTTTTTTTATTTTTATTTATTTTTTGTTAAGCAGGCCCCCTGCTCCTCAGAGCTCCTGTGCAATAGGAAACTGAACGCCGACCAGAACTAACCAATGGCGTTAGACTACCGCTTAGATGCTTCAAATTTAAGGAATACCTCGGCTGATGCAGAGTTAATGAACATTTCACGGACTACAAAGTCTTTAAAATATAAATATATGAAAACACAACATGACATGAGAATAATACTTGTAAAACAACGTGTTCTTGCTCCGTTTGTCGACTACAAAAGCACATTTATAAACATGAAATGTGAAGTTGCCATCTTAAGAAAACAGATCGACACTTTTTGTGTGGCTGTACGTCCATTTTCAACCAGTAGGGGGATAAGCAGGATATATTTATGTCAAGGGCCTTGTCAGCCACTAGATGGTGCCATCGGATAAGAGAAATACTCCAGAAAGAGACTTTAACTCATTCACTGCCAGTCATTTCCTGATCAGAAAAGCCCTTCGCTGCCAGTGGTTTTCAGTGTTTTCACTGTTTTTTAAGAGTCACAGAACATTGCACTCTATGATGATGTCAATGCCAAAACTACCAAAACCAAGGGTAGACTCACCACTTATATCAGGAAGAATCCGCGTGTTTCGAGCGTTGTCCATTCTTTCATAATCCGTTGTCGAATTGTGATCGGCAGAAACTTTTCCGGTTCGTGCCTCACTTTTTTTACAGCAGTGACCCAAAACGATCTCCTAACACATGGATTTTCTGCTTCCTGATCATGTGATGTGTGTCGTACATGGATGAATATCAGCAAACCCTGTAAGTGAAAAGAAGCAAGTAATAACTTTGCAGTCGAAGAAAGCATGAACTAGATAAGCAAAATACGTCTCGTCTGCCAACATCGCTATGTGCTAAGCTGGTTCCAGCAACAGCAGGCTGTACGTCCATTTTCAACCAGTAGGGGGATAAGCAGGACACATTTATGTCAAGGGCCTTTAAACTTTATGCTGAAAACTTCAACAACCATAAGAGATTTAAAGGTTGAATAAGGAACATGAACATCAAAGCCACATCTAGTGTGTAGAGGTTGTTGCAACAATAGAACAAGGTTTCCAGCCGTCAGGATGCCAGGTTCGCTGCAGATACGTGACGTGACCAGCCATCACCATGTCTATTGATGACTGGTACAGGGTAAGAGCTAATCCTAAGTTTATTTTACAACAGTATTTATTGTTAGAACATTTTCTGGGCTCCAAAGCAGCTGCTTGACTGAATCCACCAGTTTTCCCAGTGCCAGCCTCGCTGTCCCAAGAGGACTGTTTGCCGTATTTGGCCACCTGCATCGGTGCCCTCTATTGGCTGCTAAATGTAAACATAAACCTAGTGTCATGCCCGTAAAATTTTAATATAGCTTTTAAAGGAAATACTGTACCTTCATTCTGCACACCTCTAAACGCCCTGTGGAGGTATTATTTTTTAATGTAGCTTTTTATTAAATTGTTCCATATTCAACCTTTAAAACTGTCAAAACTGGGCATCAATGGACAAAAAAATTACTAAAAGAGACAAAAAGCCATCAAAATTAGACACATATTAATCAGACCTGAGAGAAATGAGCTGGAAAACCAGCCACCAAAGCAAGGGCTGCAAGACCATAACAGTAAAATGCAAAAATAATACTAAAATCTCCTCACCTCTTCAAAATAAGACGAAAATGGTCAAATGAAGTGTAAAACCTTTAAAATAAGTATGTCGCAGAAAAGTTTGCAAAGTTAAACATAAAGCTATACAGAAAAATTAAAATTACAAACAACCTTTTCTTTCCTTCCGGTTTAGGGTCCTTCAGCACTCAACAGATGTCACAGAGGAGAACATGGGTCCGAGCCGTGGGAACAGGATGGAAATGTCCGTTTTCTACGTGGTGTACTTTGTGGTCTTCCCATTCTTCTTCGTCAACATCTTCGTTGCTCTCATCATCATCACCTTCCAGGAGCAGGGTGACAAGATGATTCAGGAGTGCAGTCTGGAGAAAAACGAGGTACAGTAATACAGCCACGGAAAATGCAGTCAGGGAACATTAAGGTGGATCTGTTGTTTATGTTCTCCCCATCAGAGGGCCTGCATTGACTTTGCCATCAGTGCAAAGCCGATGACCCGCTACATGCCCCAGAACAGACAAACCTTCCAGTACAGGCTGTGGCACTTTGTGGCGTCACCTTCTTTTGAGTACACCGTTCTCGTCATGATCGCTCTCAACACTGTGGTTCTCATGATGAAGGTAAAGTAAAAGCACTCCCTCGGAAAGGGTTCCCTTGTGCATCTCTTCACCAAATGTTTATTTCCACAGTAGTTTCTGGCTTCATTTCATCCCAGATTATTATATCAAACAGATGAAAATGGTAATTGAAAGAATTTAAAAGCCACTTAATCAGATGATACCATCAAATGCAGGGGTGGTTTTGTTCAAAGTCAGCTACGATGTTGATGTGATGATTTTTGACTTTTTGGGCCTTTTTCTTTAGTACCACTCTGCTCCAACGGCTTACGATGCTGTCCTAAAACATCTAAACACAGCTTTCACCGTCCTCTTCTCCATGGAGTGCATACTCAAGATCATGGCATTCGGTTTGGTGGTGAGTATGAATTCAACACTTAGAGACTTTAATAAATGAAATCCGAACAAAACTAACGGATTTCTCCGTCTCTGCAGAACTATTTTCGAGACACTTGGAATATTTTTGATTTCATCACCGTTCTTGGAAGCATCACGGAGATAGTTGTGGATCTGCAGGTGAGACACATCCTAAACGTTGAATGGATCGATGGAGCCGGTAGCTCTAATTGCAGCATCACTCCTTTGCGAGTTTCCTGTTACGATTTGTGCCTTGTGTTGAATTTGGCCATCTGTGATTTACATCCTGTCTTTCCCGTCTGGCTGCCACTATCTGCCGGCACGTCTCTCTCTCTCTCAAATCACTTCGCTCGTCTGTCCTAGTCATTGAACACCATCAACATGAGTTTCCTGAAGCTCTTCCGCACAGCCAGGTTGATCAAGCTGCTGAGGCAGGGCTACACCATCCGTATTCTGCTTTGGACCTTCGTACAATCGTTTAAGGTCTGGCAGCTTTTACATTATTTTATCAATTATTTGTTTTCTTTTATTGATAAAAATATCTTTATTGTATCTCCTCTGATAGGCTCTTCCTTATGTCTGCCTGCTTATCGCCATGCTTTTCTTCATTTACGCCATTATTGGAATGCAGGTGAGACTTTATTTGTTTGGGTCTTTTGTAGATAAATGATGTAAATTAATTAAACACTGTTTCGTTTTCATTTAATTACTGTAATTGGGTGAAGTGTAATGTGAACAAATAGCATTTAATATCATTGATTTGTGGGGAAAAATTCAGATTTAGTGCACATTTTGAATTAGATAAAGAACTGTTTGGCACTTGTTGCGTTTCTGTAATGAAAGGCACTTTAACCCATGATCCCATGATAATGTTTTGAACTGAATCAGAAAAGGGTAGAATGCCTTCTCCAGGTCAGGGATAAGGTGAGATCGATATGTGAATTGGTGCTGCGTCTGCAGAGATGCCTGCGTTGTACCGGTCTGTGGTGGTAAAGAGAGGGCTTCGCCTTACAGCTCAGCTCTCAATTTACCGGTCGATCTACGTTCCTACCCTCATCTATGGTCGTGAGCTTTGGGTAGTGACCAAAAGAATGAGAGCGCAGATTCAAGCGGCTGAAATTAGTTTTCTCCGCAGGGTGTCTGGGCTCTTCCTTAGAGATAGGGTGAGAAACTCAGTTATCTGGGAGGGGCTTGGAGTAGATCCACTGCTCCTCCACGTCGAGAAGAGCCAGTTGAGGTGGCTCGGGCATGGCACGTCCAACTGGGAGGAGGCCCAAGGAAAGACCCAAGGCACGCTGGAGGGACTATGTCTCTCGGCTGGCCAGGGAACAACTTAGGATTCCCTCAGAGGTGCTGGCCCAACTAGCTGTGGAGGGGATGTCCAGGCTTCTCTGTTAAGGCTGCTGCCCCCGCGACTTGACCCTGGATAAGCGGCTGAAAATGGATGGGTGGATGTTTTGAACTGATTTAAAAAGTGCAATTGTGTTTTATATAGACTGAAAATCAAGAGGATTTGTTAATTCAGTGAGACACTTTAGAAGCTGTTTCTGTAGTTTCACTCGCTGGAGCATCCTGGATTTTTCTGCAGGTGTTTGGAAACATCAAGCTGAATGATGAGAGTCACATCAATCAGCACAACAACTTTAAGACCTTCTTTAGTGCTCTGATGCTCCTGTTCAGGTGAGCTTGGTCAGCAAATGGTGAATTTAATTCATGTGTCATGGATTTTATCAATATGTTTATCAATAAACCCATTTCCTGCAGCTAGAGAGAGGGACAAGAAGCAATAAGGCAGACATACAACCAAATTATGAGTTTGTGACAAGTGTGCAGGGCAAATGCCCCGAGCATCTGGTCACAGAGTTTATTTACAGGAAAAGATAAGAAAGAAATGGGAGTGGATCATGTGTGAGAGTGTGCGTGTGTATGGGAGGACAAGTGTGTGTGTGTGTGTGTGTGTGTGTGTGTGTGTGTGTGTGTGTGTGTGTGTGTGTGTGTGCGTGCGTGCGTGCGTGCGTGCGTGCGTGCGTGCGTGCGTGCGTGCGTGCGTGCGTGTGTGTGTGTGTGTTTGTGTGTGTGAGAGAGAGAATACTTTCAGGACATTCAGCCAACAGATCTGTCAATAGGACCAAAGTAATGAAATATAAAATTTCCATAACAGTATGTCAGTTAAAAATTTATTATTGATTGTGTGTGTGTGTGTGTGTGTGTGTGTGTGTGTGTGTGTGTGTGTGTGTGTGTGTGTGTGAGTGCGTGCGTGCGTGCGTGTGTGTGTGTGTGTGTGTGTGTGTGTGTTTTGCATGCGTGCGTGTGTGTTGACCTTCAGGAGCGCTACAGGGGAGTCTTGGCAGGAGATCATGCTCTCCTGCCTGTCTGGACAGGAGTGTGAGCCAGACCCCTCCATCTCCCCCCTCACCATCTCACCTGACCATGAAGGAGGCTGTGGCACCGACTTTGCTTACTGCTACTTTGTCTCGTTCATCTTCTTCAGCTCGTTTCTGGTCAGAAAGGAAAAATAAAGCCCAACGTTTATGCATCTCAGTTTGTCTTTTCAGCTGCCCTTTTGTCTCATAGATGCTGAATCTGTTTGTGGCTGTGATTATGGATAACTTTGAGTACCTGACTCGAGACTCCTCCATCCTGGGTCCTCATCACCTGGATGAGTTTGTTAGAATATGGGGGGAGTATGATCGACTAGCATGGTGAGCCTCAAACTCATTATACATTGTTTGTTCTGCCTCTGTCCAGCAGAGGGCAGCCGAGGAATATGAAATATGGAAGATTAAATCCGTGGTAGTAAAGCCAGTTTCTAATATTGTCTCTTTTTGCTCTTATTTTCTCTCCCAAGTGGGCGTATTCACTACACAGCTATGTACGAGATGTTGACACACATGTCACCCCCTCTGGGTCTGGGTAAAAAATGTCCCGCTAAGATCGCCTACAAGGTGACTGAAACATGAATATTTCAGAAATAGATGAACCAAGGGGGAAAGTCTATTTTATTATTTGGCTGATTCAAGAAAACACTTACTTCACTTGTCTTTTCTCTCAGAGGTTGGTGTTGATGAACATGCCAGTAGACGAGGACATGAGCGTCCACTTCACCTCCACTCTGATGTCACTCATTCGCACGGCTTTGGACATCAAAATAGCTCGAGGTTAGGCTTCAATGCATCTTTATATTTTCTTGTTCCATCTCAGATGTCATCCATGCTTGAATGTGGATGTTTGTCCCAGGTGGCGAGGACCGTATTGCTCTGGACTCTGAGCTGCAGAAGGAGATCAGCATCATTTGGCCTTATCTGCCCCAGAAGAACTTGGATTTACTGGTACCCATCAACAAAGGTCTGGCTCTTCCTGTGAAGGCAGATATCATTGTGCTGCTGAGCCAGACACGTTAATGACTCGTGTTTACCCTCACAGATACAGACTTGACGGTGGGGAAGATCTACGCCTCTATGATGATAATGGATTACTTCAAACAGAACAAAGCCAAGAAGCTTAGGCAGCAGCTGGAGGCTCAGGTCAGGCCTGCATGTTTGATTTTAGGGAAATCCTCTCACGAATGAGAGAACCTGGATCTGAAAAAACCCTCAAATGATATGTAAGACATAAAAGTGGAAATCTGAGATGTATAAATCATTTAAATTATTATTACATAATTGTTATCATTTATTATTTAAATAAAACCATGCAACCTTTTCATGTCAAAAAAAATCATTTTCTTGAGCCAGAATGTGCTAAAATAACCTTTTACAAGGTTAATAAAATGTCACTGAGACCCCTACCGCCTCCAGTGTCCAGAAAACCGCATTTGCAACTTCAGAGTGGCAGGCCGCTCCCTGTTAATAATGTGGATCTGACATGCCAGCGCCGCAATCTGGTTCCAGCCTGTTTCCTGCATTTTTTAGATCACGAACACAGCTGATTACTTTTATTTAGTGATGGTTTGCTCTTGTAGAAACCATGAAGGCTGGGGAGACATTTCAGCTGTTAGATTAAGGTGTTTAAAAGACGGACACACAGCAAGGAGACAAGTTTCACTTTTGCTTTCAGTAACTGGACACTAGGGGGTGCTAAAAGCAAGCCAAAATTGCAAAATCTCCCTTAAAAATACTGGCTTTTTGATCTGTGTGACCCCAACAACAAGGAAGTCTGAAATCGAGCAGAATCAATCAGTGATTTTCCACAGAAAATCTACTTTGGCTCTTCCTTTTCTTCTTTTCCGGCTTCTCCTAAAACGTATCATCAAATTCTTGGAATCAAACTTTGTGTGAATTTTTATTTGCCAAAAACATTATAATAAACAGTGAAATGTATTTTCCTTGTTGTACTTTTTATTGTTATACACACACACACACACACACACACACACTCATTAGAGATCTACCAATATGTTGTTGTTTTTTTTATTGCTAATATGTAGAGGTCATGGTCAGCCAATGGCCGAAATGCTCAGATGATATTTTGGCTGATTTCTATGGCCGTTATCTAGATGTTTTTTGCCTTGTTTTCATGCTGAAATGTCACTAATGACAGCAGCTGATGCTCAACATTTCTGAGCCTGAATCCATTTTCAAACATTGAGTTTAACCAACTCTTGAATCTTGATTTTATGCATCTCTCGGTATTAAAATCAAACATTTTAGCAAAGTTAATCAAACCAATGAATAAATGGACCAAATAAACAGGTAAATAAAAATAAATTTTTATTTGACAATAATTCTTTATCAAGCAGACGTGCCTGACTGTAAATCAGCACTACTAATGAGTTATATTGTTGATGCAATGCCGATATATATTGGGCTGATATATCAGGCGATTGATATATCGGTCAATCCATAATACACATTAGTTGTTGTTTTAAAGGAAAATGGAAACAAATGTTTTTGTGTGAAAGAGCAGACACATGAATTAAACCAACTTTTGTTTGTTTTTGTCTCGTTTTAGAAGAGTAACATGATTTTTAAACGTCTGGACGCCTCCACCCTCCCTGAGGACATTCTGTCCAACGCCCAGCCGCTGCCGATGATGGCCCACAGTGCCGGTTCAGCCCTGTGAGTCAAAAACTGAGTGCCTTTATGTGCAGTGGTGCTCTTGTTTGCTTACAGTTTTTCTCCAACCCCTCTGCAGGACCAGAGGAGGCTTTGTGGCTTTGAGCCCGATCTCACCACAGGAACTCTTTCTGCAGCCCATAAGCTCAGACGCTGATGGTGGTCAGCAGCAGAGTCTGGTATGAAAATCGTGCATCTTTATGCATCATATTTATTTAGCAAAACCAGTTTTACTAAACTGCACAAGTGTTTTAATAATCTGCAATCTCGTATCTGCAATCTTGTATCTGCAGGATTTAGATCAACCAAACCAAATAAAAATTTAGTTGATGCCGTTTTCTCTGTGGCTTGCAAATCAAGGCTGCTGTGTGTTTCAGCCCTGAGCAGGTTGGAGCCTCAGAGGTAGACTGTTGGTGTGTTGTTGCTCTTGTCTTTACTGTATGGGTTTACTGGTCTTCACCATCCACCCAGTTGAATCATTTCAACTATTCTGTAGTAATAAATGTGCAGAGAAATGCACCTGGCCTCTGGGAGGCTGTTGTCTGCCTGTTTGTGTATCTGTCAGAAATCGATTGTGCATGACGGAGGCCAAAACACAATGTCCATCTTTTTTCTGTAAACTCTTTTAGTCCAATCCTGTTCTCCTCCTCTCTGTTCTCTTCTTTTTACAGCCTTGCTCTGTTTCTACTTCTCTGAAGTCAGTTTTGCCGTTGTTAGTTACTAGTTTGCCTGTTTTGAGCTGGAATGGCTTTTGATTGGATGGTTATCATAGTAACTAAATGGTTTGATCCCTCCCCTTCCTCCATTCCAGCTGCAGTGGGCCTCTATTTGCCACGGCAGCCCCAGCAGGCATGAGCCTGACCGTGGCTCTTGTCTTTCCTTGCCCTCCTGTCTTGTTTGTTCACTCACCTAGGTGGGCAGGTGTATTTGGGCTATTCATGCCCCACTGGAGCTTCCACTTGGGAGGGGCCTATGTGCGCGGGCCTCTTCCCTGCCCCGTCTGGCTGTAGAGCCTCAGGTACCTGCATCTTCTGTGACATGATCTCTTTGGGTAGAATCCCACGGAGTTCAGTGCATGGACCCTTGCCTTGCTCCGTATGTGCACGTATTGCTTCAAGGTTCGAATCGGCCGTTTTTTGAGATTTGCAACAGTTAGAGGTCAGCTGAGGTTCAGTTAATAGTCAGAATCGTGTGTCAGTCTTGAATGCTTTTGTCTCAACTTGTTTATTTCATCCTGAAAACTCAGAGCTCGACATAACCATCGAGATTGCACTGCACTTTTGCACCAAGAAAAGCATGAAGAAGAAGAAGCTCTTAAGACATTGGCATAAGATTTCTTTAATGTAACTAGAACATTTCTTTATGCATCTTGTGCCTGTGTGTGTGTGTGTGTGTGTGTGTGTGTGTGTGTGTGTGTGTGTGTGTGTGTGTGTGTGTGTGTGTGTGTGTGTGTGTGTGTGTGTGTGTGTGTGTGTGTGTGTGTTTTGACACAAAAGCAGACAGAGGCTGAAGGTGGCTCCATAAAGCGCTCGGTCTCCACTGTGGCAGATCAACAGGTGAATGGTCTCTGGCAAGAGGAGAAAAGTCCTGAGCGAGTGTATCGACCTCGTCATAAAAGCTACAAGGCAGCAGGTTTGTTCTCTTCCTGGCCCTTTAGCTTCTAATTAGATTTTGTTGAAATTTTCACTGTCCTCTCTGGATGTCCTCCAGTTTCTCGGTCTGAGCGCAGGGATCATGGTCGGTCCAAAGAGCGTTGCCACCTCCTGTCTCCGGACACGTCACGTTGCAACTCGGAAGAAAGAAGCTTGCAGCCGTCGCGCTCCTCCAGTGTGGATGGAGCACGCCCCCAGGATAAACAGGTGGGTTTTGTCAAAAAAAACGTAAAGTTAAACTTTTTTTTCTTATTTCTAAACTTCAGATCTGTTGAATTTTGACTATTTCTTGCCCAAAATTGTGAAAGTGGTATGTTTTCGGTTTCCAGGGCAACAGTTCAGACAGCCCTGTACCCTCCACCTCAGAGTCCAGCACACCAAGTGGTCGACGACCTCTATCACAGACCCCAAACCAATCCCGCCCTCACATCTCCTATTCCCCACTTGCCCAAGCCTCCGTAGGGGAAGACGAGGACGAACAGGGCAGCCCGGACACCGTGAGGCGGGGTAAGTCCACATGGGAGACCCAAGAGGGCGCTGAAGGGGAGAGACGGAGCCAGGCCGGCAGACAGTCGTCACCCCCTAGACGCTACCCCTCCGAGCCTTTCCTGGCCTCTCAGGAGGACGACCACAGCCCAGACCCTACCTGTCCCATGGAGACGTTGACCTTTGAGGCAGCTGTGGCTTGCAGCCTAGGACGCGCAAACACCATTGGCTCGGCCCACCCGCGCTGGCGGGCAGGTTGGCAGGTACCCAACGGACACTTCAGGAAGCGACTGGTGCAGACGACCTCAACTTCAGGCTGCGACCCTCTCAGCGACACAGAGGAGGACGACCGGTGCTAGGGTCGGGAGGTCTGACGCTAAATCCAAAGTGAAAGTTACTGTGAAGCTTTGAGCCCTCTGGATGTTTGATCTAAAAAACACAAACTAATAAAGACTCACTGCCTGAAACTGTAATTACAGATCTATACAGAACTCTGACAATCAATAAGGTCCGTTTCCTGACCGGAACTTGATGATACACGGTAATAATGCATCTCAAGTCGTTGACGAGTCCAGGAAATAAACCCGATAAATGGATCATGTCATTTGTGTCAATGGGTATTTTGATTTCTGCAGATATTTTTAAATGATTCGATGTTGCTCTAAACAGTATTTATCTGTGGGGTGTGTGAATATGTAGCTATGTTTTATTAGGAATGGTTTTGTAAATACTCTGTGATCATCTCACCACCGCCATTTACGGAACCGCATCGATGCAACAAGCCATCAAAACGAGGCAATCAAACACCTACTTTAATGATGTAAGAGACTCTTTATATGCTGGATTTTTTTATAACATGAATGAGTGTGGAGGGAGGTGAAGTCGGATTTCCTCTAGTTTTCATTTTAATTAAAGAGACAATGTGTAGTTTTTACCATTGATCTCTGAAAATATCAGTCGAAATCATGAAAATGAATCAAATGATGCCTAGTAGTGGAAAAATATTGGCGGCTTTGTAACATATAATCATAAATATTGGGTCTAAAATGCATGGTAGAGGGTCTAATGGTGTTCTCAATGTCAAGGATCCTTGCCTTGATGCCTTGGTCCCGCCCCAGTTGCCTAGGAGATACGCCATCAGCAACCACCAAGGCATGCTCCAATGTTCATGTTTTACGGAGGCGTCTGTTCTCCGTTTGCTAGCCATTTAGCTAGCTGACCAAGAATACATGGGAGGTGTCTTGTAGCCTGATCTTGGTCAAAAATTTCCCAGAATACTTCACGGCATTTTCAAAAGGATGGCGGATCAGGAGCCAGCAGCTACTCTGGGGGTGAAAAAAAAATGTAAGTCAACTAATTGTTGCTACTGAGCTAATATCTGGAATGTTTTTAGATCTAAAGCTGTTGTCTATGGTTGGTTAGTTGCTTAGTAGTTGCAGCTTCGGTGGCTAGCAGGTAGTGACTATCTTACATATGTAAGTTAACCAATATATACACAATTAAAAAAAGTAAAAAGGCTTGTTATACATTTAAATTGAAACTTATATGTATAAAATATAACTTTACCGTGATGTGACGTGACCGCCAAAAAAGCTGCGGTCACGTGATGCAAGTCATTTCCATTTAACCATTTTCTTTGACCAAGGAAGGACCGTGTCCTTGTAAGCAAGGCACCTGGCCTAGCAAGACATCGCCTTTCTAGACCAGGTGCCTTGACATTGAGAAACACCATAAATCTCTGGGCGACGCCAAATTAGACACCATGCTTACTTCTACGGGAGCCCGTGAGGACAAACCTCGATGATTTGTAACAAGTGGTGAGAAAACTTTTGTTATTCATAAACATTTTACATATTAACCTCTTCGCTTGCTTGGAGGCTGCGTTCCCAGGGATTTTTGACCCTAAGGGCCATCTGTTGGTAAGGTCTTACTCAAACACAACAATACTGCTTGCTTGCAATGATTTAGCCCCCCATGGGAAAATAAACATCGTCAATTTGAGTTTTGATTTATAGATACAGTTATAGAGCATGACGGAAAAGATGCTTTTGTGAATTTATTTGACAAAAAAGGTCAGAAAATATGTCAATTATACATCAAGATACATTTTTTTTAATCAGTTTTCAACCTCTGGGTAAAATTTTTCAAAACACGAAACAGTTTAATTTAAACCAAAAAGACCTTTTTCAAGAATGGTCACATTCTGTAATCCTGATTATGGAACAAACCATTGTGGACAATGAAATGCTGTAGAACCTCCCTGACCAATTTTGCTTTAAACACCTAGATTGTTCTAAGTTTTGCAAATAATGTACAGAGAAAGGATGCTGTTTTTAAGTTTTAGAGAGGGAAAAAAATACAACTGTAATGAAATCCTTGAAAAATATTCCTATTAAGGTAAATCTGTGAAACTCAATTAACCAAAAGATTTGTATTATAAGTTTGATTGATGCAAATACTTTGTGGGTTTTTATTGTACAGTAGCTGTATATACTAGTAAAGGTGTTCCTAAGTTGCTGTTGTCTTCTGGTGCACATTTTGTAGTTCTGTTTATTTATTAATCGAAACAAAACACCAAAAAAGGCTTTATTTAACCTTAAATGTGACAAAACAACCCAGAAAAAGTGCAATTTCTGTTTTTTTTTTTATTGAATGCAAGTATTGAGACAACAGATTATTTTAGAGTGAGTAGGGTGTGTATGAGGAGCGTGAGTGGGTGTGTGACACATTCTGTGTGTCTAGGTTGAATGTGTTTATGTGTGAGCATGAGGGTGGGAGTGTCTGACTGTGTGTGACAGTATGTCAGGTGGGGTCTTGGATCTAAAAATAATATTTGATATTCTAGCTTTATTTCATTATAATCATATTCATGACTGAGACAACTTTTTATACAATTCCATATTCAAAATGATTTGAATCATTCAAACTAAATAAAAAACTGAGGATAATTTACATTTTATTGCTTCAAAGAAATACATGAACATAATCAGGTTAAAAATATGACACAGCTGAAATTCACGTCTAAACTGGAAACGAATAATATGTGTAATAAATGTGTATTTTACATATTCTTTTGTTAAATTAGGCACCCAATTTAGGCAAAAATCCAAGATAGAATACCCAACACAGAACCAGTCTATGAAAATAACTGGAATGCTTCAAGAACTCATGAGGAAAAAAATCTAATAGTTGAAACTGCTGACAGTACCAGATTTAGTTTATCCTTTCTTTTTACCCTTCAATTATAATGTATTTCAACAGATACAGCATATATTATCATGTTCCTTTAAAGCAGACTACCACATAAAAATGAAAACTATATAAGATGAAAGGTCAAGTGCATGTTGGAAGGACACAGTCATCCTAATCTGAAACATGATGTCAAGTATGAATTACAGTAAATATCCCAGAAACACACTGCAGAATCTCATTGTAGCTGTTGCACTTTTCGTAATTTACAATAAATACAATTTTATTTTATTTTTTTACTTATTCATTTACAAACAACATGGCATGAATTCCTTTGTTTGACATTTCCAAGGATCAGTTGCGAAGAACAAAAGAGACTTTGCATAGAAAGCAAAGAATATTTGTGAATGAAACAAACAAACAAACAAACAAAAGAGACAAAGAGCTAGGGCTTTGTTTTCAAATCATACTTTTCAAAAAGATTAAGGAGTTTCATTGCATGTTTACTTTTCATAAAGTTAAGGGCTTTGGAGAAAGAAAGACACTCGTTATGAAATGCATAGAATCTAGGCTTCACTTTTCCATATCTACATTTGTGAATGTAAAATTTGGCTACAACGATTATTTTATTTACCAGAAAGTAAAAGTCCCATTCAGTGTTATCTAATTTGGCTCCGTAAATGACATCGTTCTCAGAAAAGGGTTCAATACACATCTTTGTGTATAGCCAGTCATGGAAATCATTCCAGAGAGCTCCAGAATAAATACATTGAAAAAACAAATGAGCAGAGGTTTCTATATCATCACAAAATACACACTTGTTTGTATCAAAACCACATCTCTGTCGTAAGAATTCCCCAGATGGGTACACATCATTTAAAACTTTAAAATGGGTTCCTTTGGCTTTTGGAGTTATAGGAAATTTGAGGTATTTAAAGAGTAATGAGTATATAATATCAATGGAGAATAATTGTTTAATGGAATTTCTGAAAGGCAGTGAAGGGTGTGAAATATCAAGCATTTTTCTAATTGTTGCATTAGGAATGTTAACACTCTTGAAATCGAAGTTTCTAACTACAAAGTGAGGAAGAGTAGGGGAGACTGAATGAGAGTTCGAAACAATTTCTTGAAATAAATACAATTTTAAAGAGGTTTTTTGAAAACAAAAATCCCTGGTGTTTAGTTTCAGGACACTAGGTGGCGGCAATGCGTCTTCAAGCATGTTACACAGACGTAACACCTTTAAGCGTAATAGAAGAAGAAGAAGGGGAGGTGAAGAAGAAATAGCTAGCCAGAAAACAATTTGTTTAATGTCACTCACGAAGTTGAAAGGCGTTATTATTCATGCAATTGGCCACCCAGAAAGCTCGGTGGGACATCCAAAGTTGCTGTTAAAGCATATATTGTCTATAAATTGTGAGTCTTACGAAAGAATTTGCGTTACTCATCGAGGAAATCGATGAAAAAGTAGCTAGCTGGTTTGCTAACCGTTGTTAGGAGAGTTCTTTGTTTTGTTTTTTCGAGTCCGTGTTTACAATGACGAGAAACTAGTCTGCCAACGATCGGTAGAATTTAACATATACATTTCTTTATCAATAATGTCACAATTGTATTTGCTATAATTAATAATAACGGGAAGATTTGGAGGAAAAAAAATACAGATTAGCAATTGTCAGCAAGTCTGTTCTGATTTTGAACGTCGGCTGCTAAAAAAGGACTGGCCTCATTACAATATGGGAAACTGTCTGAAATCTCCAACATCAGACGACATTTCTCTGCTTCACGAATCCCAGTCCGACAGAGCGAGTTTCGGGGACGGGACGGATCCAGACCTGGAGCCGCCGCCTCCGTACCATGTGAGAGGCTCACCTTTAAGAAAAATGTGTGGTAATAATGTTGATAAACAGTATCATCGTTAAACAAGGAAAATGTTCATGATTTGGTTTCTCTTAATTTTAGTGAATATTATGATCTGGCCAATAAAAAAATTTGTTTGGTAACTAATTAAATTTGCAATCGTATCTGATGACAGTGAGATGATTATAAACATGCGTCTGTTTTTACTTGTTATCCATGATCATGTCATTTTTATCTCTTTTGGTTGCAGATGTTATTTAGTTTAACTTAGCGTGGCATAGTTACATATTGGACCTACAGCTAAAGTGTACTTTAAAGTGAAAAAAATGCAAACATGCCGATCCTTGGATTCCATTTTAACCAAAATGACAAAAACTCTGCTTTCAAGAATAGCTGTTTTTTCCCTGTTTACCTAAACACAGTCTGACTTGTTGAGCTGCATTTTGTTGACATTTGTTTTTCATTTCCGCCACTAGGAGCAGGCTCACATGCCCATGTACCACCCTACACCCAGTCAGGCCCGTCTGGCTACTCAGCTAACAGAGGAGGAACAGATCCGCATAGCCCAGCGTATCGGCCTCATCCAGCATCTCCCTAAAGGTGTCTACGATGGAGGGCAAGACGGCTCAGAGAAGAAGATCAGAGAGTGAGTAACACTGGAGACACAGTTGCTCTTTATTGGTGGGGTATGTTGATGATATGCTAAATGTTGTCTTTGACATCGAATATTTTGTAGAACACTCCTTTTGTCCAATCCAAGTCAAATTTTAATTAACAGAATAATTCTTAAAGCTACAAAAAACTTAAATCAAGATCGTATTTTTAAATAAAAAATTATTTTTGTTAATTTTTGCTCATATTTATGTGTTTATTTTCCCACAGGTGCGTTATCTGTATGCTGGACTTTGTTTACGGAGATCCCATCCGGTTCTTGCCATGTATGCATATCTATCACATGGACTGTATAGATGACTGGCTGATGAGGTCCTTCACCTGCCCCTCCTGCATGGAACCTGTGGATGCTGCCCTTCTGTCCACCTATGGACCAACCGATTTCTCACCTGAGTCCCCTGATGTGTAAACTGAGCCCCCCCAGCACCCAAACCTAAGTCCGCCCTCTTGTTGAGTGAGAGGAGCTTCAAAAACGTGGAGGAGGGAAAAAACGTGTGTTGGTTATCTTGCACTTTGAAAATTTCTAAATCTATTCACCCAACGTTGGCCTTTCATTCCTCCCCAGGTCTGATGCTAATTAAGCTGGTCTTAAAACATCAGTCACATGAATCAGTAAGAAACTTTTCCCTGCATGATTGTGTTTGCTTTGCTCGAGGCAGTGTTGCAACTGAAGATGGATTTGTGTGTGGAAGCTCCCGTGAGCTGGCCTCAGTGGCGTTTTCCCCTCAGCTGACCAATCAAATCCCAACTGATCGTAAAAATGTACTGAAATAGACAAGCAACATACCAAAATAATGGCTCATATGCAGAATGACTTGACATCCGTCGGATGAAGTCAGATTAATCACTGATCTACACTTACTCTAGCTTAAAATGTCTCTTTGCTTTAGTCACATGATCATAATATTTACCTTTTTTGTCACAGAGGAGCCTTAGTGCTCTCCAGGTGGGCTGGATTATAAAAAATATGCACACTTGCTATGTGAATTACTAGGTGTAGGATTTTATATCTATAAGCTCAGATGCTGTTTTTGTTTTTTTATCCAAGTCATGAAGGGGGCACGTTTATTATGGGAAGGTCTCACCAGATGAAACAGACGTTTGGTGTCAAGCGAGCATTTGAGTAAGTCCGTTATAAATTAGAAAAGCTTGCTCACACGTTTCATTCGATCCAGAGATTTGCACTTTACTCATAAGGCATTATCTAAAACAACATATTAATATATTTACCTTATAACCTTGCACTATTGAGACTTCAGTCTTTTATCTCCTGAGATGCAAAAGTGATTTAGCTGATAAAGATATTTTCCAAGTTGTGACGTATCACACTGAGGAAAGCCTGCAGATGCATTTCATAACATTTGTGATTCGGTAGGGTAAAAATAAAAAAATGTTTTATTTTTGGAGTTTTAGACGTTTGTTTTTTGTTTTTCTAAGGGGCAGAGGCTTGCTTCTAGTGAGAATAATGGCTTGACACTATTTTCACTTTCGTGGTAAAAGTTAGATGTAATAAATGATGCAGTATAAAATAAGGAAAGATGCTCAGATTTTTTTTGTTTGATTTTCTTTTTATGATTCATGTTCACCTCCATCGTGTTTTTATTTTTAGAGCATTCGTCTTCCTATGGGAACTTGCTGACAAGAAAACGAAAGTTGGTCTTTTTTTGTGACTTAAATTTAGATTTATTTAAATGCTAAAAGTTTTTTTTTCTGTTCCAGTTCTCTGTAGCTGTACTTAAAACCACTGTTTTCCTTTTAGTTTGTAGCATTCTGTCTTTTCTGTTAATCGTTTATGTTCCTGCTCACATTAGGTCCACTACATGTTTAGTATTTTAAACAGAAGGCTTAAGCTCTGATTTGAACTTCTGTCCCAGTTAAGCTTGTGTGTGTGTGTGTGTGTGCGTGCGTGCGAGTGAGTGAGTGATAAAACAGGCATCGTGGTTTCCTCTCAGCTTTCCTTTGCTGGCTTTTACAATTTAAGTTTATCATGGAGTGATCATTCACTGTACTTGTTTTATTTCTGTCCTTTTGGAAGCCCTTGTGTAAACAATAAAAAAAGGAGAAACTAAATGTGGTTTTATTTCAAATACAGCCAGTCGTTCTTTGTCTCCCCTAGACATCTATTGGAGTGACAGATTTGGTCAGAGTGTGGTTTGTTGCCCCGTGATTACCAAAAGGAGGATTACAGAAGGCTCAAAAGCTGAATATTCCTTTCAGCTTTTTGTTAATGTAATCCCAGGATCTTGCAGTGAAGAGGAAAGCGTGGCCACAAAATCAGGCCTCTCCATTCAACTTGTGCAGCAAAGTGAGTCAACATCGTATTGGTTATCATTAATGTTTCCACTGCTTGCATCAGCTGGGTGAAACACAAATGCTAGAATGTGTTATTCTGCCCATAGTTTTGCCTGGCAGGTAAAATTTGCCTCCCTTTAGGTGTTTCTTTTACTCCTAATTACATCTGGCTGTGCCTGACTGTTTTCTTGAACAGCAGCCAACATCAATCAAAAAATGTAATTGCTCAATTTTAAATGGCCAGTGTGTTGAGTTTAAGCGGTTCAAAGAAGCCAGAAATCCTCATCTAAATCACTTTGTACACCCAGTATTTCTCAACCAGATTGCACACAGGACCACACATCCTCCTGAAGCGATTGATGGCAACAAGCCCTTTTTGTTTTCCTCTTTCCTCGGATTACAGGCAAACACGGATAATCAGCTTTGCAGTGTTGCGAGATCTGCATGCTTTTAGTTTAAAAACCAGAGTTTGATAACCTTGACCGGCTAACTGAGGACTCACATGGAGAGGTCGCTGGTGTAAATGTGACCATAATGAGATTTTGGGTTATGCATTTGTGGCTCAGTGATCGGCAAAGGAAACAGGAACAGAACACGGGAGTTTATTCGTACTGAAGCATTTGCAAATGCAGCTGTTTTACATCCTGGGAACAAATTCATAATGTCAGAACACCTTTGATGTGCTTCAGAACAATCCTTTTCTGCCTGTAATACTTTATTGTTGCAGTGATGCTTTTTATTTATCATTACTGTTAATACAGAGTAGTGGTTGATCACACATGGACTGATGATCACGGTTTGTACATCCCGTGAAAAGTGACTGGAATGGAACAATCCACCTCTGCCCTGGCGACCTCAGACAGATCCTTAGCGTTGAGGATGAGGAGGTAAGCTGGTCTCTGGGATCCAGGAGCTGCCACAATGGTAAGCAGCACTCCTGTGGATGCAGCAGACATCAGACCATGTTAACAGTACCCCAGACTTTCACATAATCGCAATAAAACAGATGCCATAACTCATTTTTGTACTCTGCTTTTGACTTACCATCATCTTCATCGACCCCATCGGGAGCCTGCACAAACAGGGGCTCTGAGGGATATGAGTCAGGCTCTTGCCACACCCAGGTCTCCTTGGTTTTCACATTCAACTTGCAGATCTGCAATTATAGAAAACATGTTTTTCTTTTTCCTCTATCTAAATGTTGTGGATTTATTATTTTACCCTGTCTGGTATGAAATGGTTGAGACCCAGGCCGTAGGCGTATGAATAGTTCCTCCCTCCATACCCCTTGTAGTTAATCTGAGGAAACTCAAAGGCTGAAAAAAAAATACAAGAATTGAACCAAGAGGATACAACTGCGTGAGTAAAATATGTTATAGTATGTGTCCTTATAAAAATGTGTTGGCACCTTGGCGAGGTCCAGAGAAGAGCACCTCAGGCTCCAGCCAGATGGTCCCGTCAGCGTGCATCGTAGCGGTGGCCGTGGTGTACGGCAGACTCACGAGATTCTTCCCCTGTTCCTCCTGAGTCACGTTTAAAGTGAAGCAGATGATGGAAAATTGTTTTAGAAAGATGTATCAGTTTGTGGTATTTCCACAAGGACAGGAGGGTCACCTTGTGGACATCCAAAGGAATGACGTATCGGCGCACTTCTGGTTGGGGCGCCATCATGGCTGCCTTCTTTACCTCCTCCCAGTTGGCTCTCAGATTGGCCAGCCAGAGGTAGTTGTAAACAAACTCAAAACTAACAAAACAAACATTAAAAAAAAACAAATATGTTGATGGCCTAATGGGTAAGAATAAAGTCCAGACTAGAATAGAATAAAATACTTTATTTGTCAATTCTTCGAATGTGCTTGCCATACAAGGAATTGAAATTACGTTTCACACTGTCCCATGCGTAGACATTTACATAATGACTACTTACCCTTTCCATGAACACAGGTCAACGACAATGAAGCCTTGGTCCTCGTAGGTGTTGATGTGGTGGAACATCCCGATAGCTGCGCCTTTGAACTTCAGGTCGATGTACTCTCCTGGGTCTTTCTTAGCAATGTGAAAGTTGGTCTAGAAGAAGTTTAGTGAAGCAGACATCACACTTTTGTGATGGAATTTAAAATGTGCAGTGAAAATGTAAATCTGCTCAAACTCCTTACTCCCTGGCTCTCGTTGGACTCGAAACAGTCCATGTAGTTGGAGCCGCGGATGCTCCAGGCACTCAGAAACTTTAGCAGGTTGATTTTCACCGGGGTTTCCACAAAGACAAAGTAGTTTTCTGACATGCCGAAACTGAAATTTGACCAAAAGGCTACTTAGAAACGTGCGTTATAGACAACAACACTGAGCTGAGGTCAAAGACAGTCACCTGTGAACGTAGGAGGGCTTGAACCTTTCAGCACTGGGAAACTGCACCACCACTTTGGACTTCTCAATGGGATCCGACTTGTCTACGGTAAAAAGATTTACATTTGATGACTATGAACGTTGCGGTTAGAGTCCTAACAAGAACCAAGAGAACCGAACACATCATTCCTGTTTTAAAATCTCTACACTGATTACCATTAAACTACAGAATCAGTTTCAAAGTGCTACTACTAGTTTATAAATCACTCAATGGCATGGGGCCAAAACACATGTTGGATCTCCTTCCTTAATATACGCCCAGCAGGGCTGTGAGATCTTTAGGAAAGAGTCAGCTGGTAGAACCTCAGGTCAGAACCAAACAGGGTGAAGCTGCTTTAAGCTACACTTCACACAGATGGACTCAGCTTCCTCACGACCTCAAATGAGCCCCAACTCTAGAAACATTTAAAATAGAAAACTTTCATGCATTCTACCTATTGAGGATTGTTCTTGTACTGAGCCTTCTGCACTGTAAGCGCTCATTTGTCTTTTTATTAATGAATAAATCTGAAATTAATGTGTGTGTAGGTGTGAGCAATTATTTTAATTGTGCTGTCACACTGATTTTAATGTCCGTGCTATTCTTGCCAACGGAAGGCACATTGAATGGCCTCTGTGTGCGAAATGTGCTACACAAATAAAGCTGCCTTGCCTTGATTGCTTTGTAATCCTCAGAAATCTAGTTGTGTTTGTTTAAAATGGAACTAGTCCAAACCTTTCTGTGTGGGGGGGATCCTGACGATGTTGTAGGCCAGTGTTGCTCCTTTCCCCATGCAGTTTCCAATGTTGTAAACAGTGCCATCCTTCTCAATATGAGGGTGGGCTGTCACTCCGTTGATGTTGACATAATCGCACATGTCAACCTGAGCAGAAAATAGTCGTTTTTATTGAGTCAACAAAGAGAAATACTTACATCCATGCATCTTTACTCTACCTTCTTCAGGGTCTCTAAGGTATCAGTGTTCACTTTGGTAATGTAGTTGGTCTCCGTTACAGCGTAAAAGTCTTCTCCTACAGGGTAGACATTCACCAAACAGTTGTCTGTGACCTCAACTCCTTTGAAGTAGGAGAAAAACCTGCAGGCACCAAAAGATGAACCAATCTCAATCTTAATCACAACATCTTGATGTTTTTTTTTGCGCTGTAGGCTCCATCAGGTAAGGAAAGTTCTGTGTGTCCAACCTGGAGAAGATGTTTTTGCAGGGATCTGGGTACGCAAATGTACCAAACTCAGTGATCACCACACGCTTCTCTGTGATAGCTCGCACATATGCATCAGTCTTGACAAACCTGGGAGCATTTCAAATTAAAATAATCATAATTTTGTCCTGAAATACAAACTTAGACTGTTGCAAACAGATTTGTTGCACCCATAAATCTGCACTAAACATAAAAAATTACCCCGCATCTTAGTGCAATTTGCTTATACATTGTTTTATGTTGCAAATTATGGTTTAAATTGTTCATTGTAATAATGAGGCTCTTTTGTTTAATTAGTATCATTATTAATGTTGAGTTGACTGTGAAAATAAAATCCTGCAAACAGCTATTAGAGTCGTACTTCCTGAAGTAGGTGACCTGGCCGTTCTTGAGGTCAAACTTATGCATAAGGGCCTGTCCATCGAAGAGGTGATAGAAGGGTTCATCTCCAACCTCAAAGAGTCCTGGTCCCAAACGAAGAAGGCTACCCTTCAAATATGAAGGAATTCTGCCTGCAGGATGAACACGGGGCAAGAAAAGTTTTATTTAATGACTCTGATGGACAAAGGTACACTGGAAAACACACACAAAGAGTCCAGTTTGCATGGAAATTGCTTTTTTTTGTGTGTAGAAAAGGGCAAATGAAAGTTAGCATAAAGGCGGCAAACAAACCTGTAACTGTTGCTGGAAGAGGTTCAGCAAGCTCCTCGCATGTCTCAAAAATCTTCTTATAGGTACCAGCTGGGTGTTCAAATCTGTTATCACAAAAGATTACTAATGCATACCAAAATCATGAATTATTAGAAGGTTAAGTAGATGTGTGTGCTGGTTAAAATCTGCATTTGTTTCTGGAAAGTTGTGGAAGGTTAATTAATAAGTTTACAGGCGCTTTTTTCTGGAGCAGATATGTCAGTTTGTCAAGAAAAGTGTAAAACTCACAGAAACAGTGACAAAAATTATAGAGAACATCAGATGAATAAAACCAAACTCAACGTATGTTACTGATACAAGATTGCATGTAAAACTCACCGGCTGACCATGTTTTCCTCTCGTCGTTGCTACGCAAAGCCAACTCTGAACTGGAAGCATCTGATCTCTCAGAGATTTGGGGTATTTATTTGTCTCAGGCACTTCACAGTTATTACGCTGCTTGGTGAGATTTTCTCCTGGCCAATCACGTCACTCCAAGAACAAAAATCCTATTGTGTCAATATCCCCAGTTCAGTGACATAAGGCTCTGACCCTCTGAATCCGGATTTGTTCAGGATAATTTGTGCTGCACAGAACAAAACGTTAGTAAACGCACACGTGCACCCCCCCCACCCCCCACCCCCACTGTAGCAACTGTTTTAGCTTCAGCGAGACATTTTAAACATAACACATTTAGAGATTTTGTATTACATAGTGCACAAAACTACAGAACACACTCAAAAGTGATTGACTCAAATTAAACTCAATTGACCCTAATAGCACTAGTTGCATGTGCGTCCATTTTGATTTACAATCAAAGGTAATTATGAAATAAACTATTATTGAGTCTGAAATGGGACCCTTTGGACGTAACTGTCTCCTCATTTTAGAATAATGTGTAGACATCTGTCAAAGGACGGGTGGCTGTTAACTTTACTTTCTCTGTAAGTGTTTTTCTCCCCAGAAGAAGCTACAACGACGTTCTGCTGAGCTGTGGTGGCCTCATGGAGGGGGCCATCGTCTAGCACACTGCTGCTAACCACTTAAACATTCTCCCTCTCCTGATAATAACTTTTTGCTTTCCTTGACGTTGGATGTGCTACTACTAGTTTATCCGTTTAATTATAGATCCACTAGGATAAATACAATAAAGTTTATCTTTCACCAAATTGAATATTTACTAAGAAATCACAATATAACTATAGACACATTACTTGTCTTTGTGTGTGTGTGTGCGTGCGTGCGTGCGTGCGTGTGTGCGTGCGTGTGTGTGTGTGTGTGTGTGCGTGCGTGCGTGCGTGCGTGCGTGCGTGTGTGTGTGTGTGTGTGTGTGTGTGTGTGTGTGTGTGTGTGTGTGTCTGCTTTGTCTTCTCGATCCCCAGTGAGTCGTGGAGGATGGCTGCTTATACTGAGCCAGGATTCTCTGGAGGTTTCTTCCTGTTAAAAGGGAGTTTTCCTCTCCACTGTCGCTTTATGCTTGCTTAGTATGAGGATTGCTGTGAAGTCACTGACACTAGTCAGTGACTTGATGCAATTTGCTGGGTTCCTTATATAGGAAACATTATTTCTGATTGGCTTAATGAACTGACCTGAATTGGAATGTTTATTATGTGAAGTGCCTTGAGACGACTCTTGTCGTGATTTGGCGCTATATAAATAAACTTGAATTGAATTGAACTGTTAGAGCCATAATCAGGTGATATAATAAAACTACTGTTACATTTAACTCTCAACACATGAAATGTGTGCTGTTGTACTTTGGTCTCCATTACAAATGCTCTACTTTGCTTGTCTCTTGCATGTGCCACGATAATCCGTGTGGATGGATTAGCCTGAAGACAGACTCTACATTGTTTCTGCTGGGAAATAAACAAAATAAAGAGAGTGATTTTTCAGCCAAAGCACATGTGTGATGTGGTTCACATGCAGAAGCTGCCATGGGATTCAGGTCAGACTCTGTACAAGGATATTTGTACGCGTTGACAAGCCAATCTCAATGCAACGTGCTCTAAAAAGCTTGCAATTGTAATTCTTCAGGGTGGAATGTGTTTATTTGTTTGGATTATATGTTTTTCATGGATGTCAAATTGTGAATCAAAGGAATATAAAGAGGAATAAATCTGAAGTTGGAAGGAAGTGTGATGTTTGAGTGTAAAACAAATAATTTATCCATTAATTTCTAAGCAGAATTGTACAAAACCTGGAGAGTGAGCAATTATGAGTAACTTTTAACAGCTGCAGCAATTATGAAAACACCTGTTCCTTAAAATTCCCCTTTGAATGTAATTACAGTATTTGTCTGTTTATATTTATGACTGTTGTGTTTTAATGGCATAGAAAGTATAAAAGCTGGCCCTGATAGAATACAAGAAATGTTCAGTTGTTCAAGAACTATATCACAACAACCAACTGGAGTAAATACATGTTTCTTGTTCATGCTGACAGTTGTTAAAACATCTGGTCGTTTCTTCATTTCCCTCATTAGAAATGTCCTAATCTCCCATTAATAATCATTTTGTTGCTTGAGAAGCGAGGGCGCCCTCTGGTGGCTCACAATCACATCGTTGCATTCAGCGCATGCGCACTCTGTTAGAAATTTGCTCAATATGGCGACGAAGTTCAATGGCCGTTTGTTTCTTTAGTCGCAAAGTAACATTTATTTAGGCCTTTATTTTCCGAAAAGCTTATTGAATAATCCGCGAATTTCCACGGTTGTAATTTGATAACCGTCGTAGTCTATTAACTGGTGGCGTGAAAACAGTAACTATCTCTAAAATGAGTTATACGACGAGGGTGGTTCAGGTGACCAATGTGTCGCCGAGTACGACGTCGGAACAGATGAGAACATTGTTCGGTTTTCTGGGTATCATCGAGGAGCTGAAATTATTTCCACCAGAGTGAGTGTTCTGTATAGTGCCCAGTTGATCGTGTTGCTATATTTGAAATGTAATAACGCACTTGTACTTGTCTAAGAACTGGTAGCTATTGAACGAAAACAGTAGGCCTGTGCTAACCAGTTAGCATTAGCATATGTAAAACGTCTGTTTAGCTTTGTTTACAAAGCTAATCCTCATGTTCAGTTACTGTGGTGAGTAAAGAAAAGTATTTGGGTGCTTAAATCTAGCTGTAGCTAGCTTGTAAAAAGAAACTAATCAAAAGTTAAAATTAGTGTTTGATAACAAAATGTAAACACTAATTAGATTTTCAACAACAAAAGTGTTTAATTGATTGCTAATTGTATGACGTTGCAATATTAAAACTGGGTTTTCTCAACTTATATAGCATATATTTATAAACGTTTTTGCTAGGCTGTTTAGTGTGAAATTGTGAATCATTCTATTTTTATTGTTTTTTGCAGTGATTCTCCCATGCCAGTGACCTCTCGGGTGTGCTTTGTGAAGTTCCGTGAGCCAGAGTCTGTGGGAGTGTCTCAGCATCTGACTAACACTGTGTTTGTGGACAGAGCCCTGATCGTGGTCCCATTTGCTGAAGGTTTGTCTCATTTGTTTGCCTCTGTGTGTGCACTGTTTTTTGTTTTGATTAAAACATGACTCATAAAGTGTGTTAATGTAAAGAAAAAAAGAATCTCTCTGCACAAGTCCACTCACCTTGGTTTGTTGAAGTGCTGCTATTTAGATAATTCAATTTAACATGGCTTTGTGATTTCTTCCAAATACCTGGAAAAGTGTATGAAGCAGAACATAAAAAAGAAAAGATTTATGATCAGTAAACCACAATGCAGCCGTTTTGGTTCTCATAATTTTATGCTGCATGTATAAAGTGCAGAATAAAATCTACTTCACACACTAGGAGTTGAACATTTCCCAGCAGCGGTCGCTGCTAAGACTTCCAGCTTCTGAATCAAAGTAAACCAAACACATTACCATGTGCATATGTTCCCCCACATTGGACTATCCACTGTTAAACCTCTCTCTGTTATTTGTGTGTGTGTGTGTGTGTGTGTATGTATGTATGTGTGAGTGTGTGATTTTTGTAGTGAAGAAGGCAAAGGCAGCTCCCTCGTTGATGGCTGAAAGTGGTCGTCTGCCTGCCAACAGGGAAATGTAGTCATTTGCAAAGGCCAGCAAGCATTCAAGCCCCTCCCCTCTTTTTTGTCCTCTGTTCTGTCTCTGCCTGGACTTTTTTCTTTCCTTACCCAAGTGGTTAAAGGTATTAAGGTCAGATCCAAGTCATATTCCTGGAAAACATTGCTTACAATGCAGTGTGTTCAAACTAGGGCTGCACAATATATTGAAAAATTATCGTCATCGCGATAACAGGACGTGCGATAGGCCCATCGCAAAGCACGTCAAAAACGGCGATAAATGTTTGGTTCAAACATTTCCATCCGTGTCATACATCAACTTTTTGTAAACCAGCTCTGTTTTTTACGCGGAAGTATTATTTGACCAATCAAATGTAGCCGTTCTGATATGCGGCCAATCAGATGGGTCCGTTCACATAATACGCCCGGCCCCTACGTAGACCCTTACCCCAAAATTCCACTACTATCTCCGCTCCGCCCCCGCTTTCCGCTGTCCCTCGCTTCCCTTGTTCGTCATGCTGGCTCAGAGCAATGAACGCACTTTGTGCTGAGGTTTCTGGAATCAGCGCTGCTTTCAAACATGAACGCGAGTCCGCTCGATGTCGTTAATCATTTTTACCGGGCTGACTCCGACACGTGCCGGTGAACCAACCCACCTCCCTCCGTGTCGCTAGTGTTCCACCGGGTGGTGGCTCCGGTTAGCTTCCAGCTAAAAGGCTACAGCACTCTCCTCCCAGTCTCAACCTGCTAAAAAGGGCCGTAAAGTTCCCCCACACATCAAAGTGATTTTTCATTTATGAGCTTTTATAACCTTGTTAATCAGGATAGTTGATTTGCTGCTGCACATAAACTGTCAGTCAGAAGCTCTGCTAGCCAGTTATCTTAAGAGGAGCTAGTCCAATTTGTTAGCTTGTTATCAGAATCATAGTTGCAGTTTCATCATCTGAGCTGCTTTTTAAGATCTAGGTAAACTTGTTCAGTTTGGGGTTAAAACAAACGTTTTCACATATTTTCCATGTAGTTTTTTTGCCAGTTCCTCTTCTGAAAGGTAGACAATTGTTTTTCTCTTTCCCTCAGAAAATCTTAATTTTCTCCTAGTTTGGCCCAGCACAGTTCACTTTCCAGTTGCAGCAACAGCCTTATATCATAACCACATAAGTGGAGAAAATGTTCAGTAGCAATGAGAGAATTTGCTGTTGCATTAAGTGATGTTAACTATTATTTAACATTTAAACTTATTTTCTGATTTTTTTTATTTATTCAGAAAACCCTGGTAAGGGATGTTTTTCTGTATTTGGAGCATCAGAAAAAGTTTTATGGTGGAGGTGATGTTTTAAAGTCACTGAAAAACTGCATGCATGCAGTTTGTTGTTTTGCTGCTAATACAGTAGCAGGTGCAGCTGCATGTTTATGCAATAAAAATGTTATGTTGTAATGGAATTCATGCATTCGTTTTTGTTTGCTTTGAACCCAGAGCAGACGTCACACGCCAGGCGACATCAACACTGCATACTTTAGTATTTGTTCATTTATCGTGAGTAATATCGATATCGCAATATTAAGCACTGTTATTGAATATCGCAGGTTTTCCTAATATCGTGCAGCCCTAGTTCAAACTCAAGTGCTGTTTGGCCGCTTGTTTTATTTCTAAAGGATTGTTGCTTTGCAGCAAAGCCTGATTAGTTCTCCGTTCTGTTAATGTCAACAAGTTCCATGAAGACACAAGAATCAAAGTATCTCTAAATTCACATTTATTCATCATTAAAGTGAGAAAATTGAGTCAAAGCCACCGGGAAGACCACATTTGTCTGCACACACAGTGAAAAACAAGTGATTTTTCCGTAGTAACAGGAACATTGACAGAAGATGTTTATTTGGTTCTTTCATGTGATTTGTTGACAATTCTCAGTTTTATTCTTGTTTAAAGGGTTGGCTGCATTGTTTTAAAATAGCTATAATTATTTGGGTCTGGTTATGTTGGGTCAATATGTCTGAATCCATGATCACCACACAATAAGATCACTAAAAAACCAAAAGATCTGTTATGTTACTGATTGATGAAGCTCCTTGTCATAAAATTTGTCGGGGATTGCTCCCGACAAGATGATGTTGGTGCCATGCTCTCTTTTAACAGTGGTCTTTTTTTTTGTTGTTGTTGTGTTTTACAGTTCTTTTTCCTGGCTCAGCCAGTCCTGTATACCAGATCCTGCTGAAAAAACCATCCAACCGTTTTGTCCTGCAGCAATTTCTCTCCAGTGTGCTCTTTCAGTGTCTAAATGTTGTCTTTGTTATGTGTCTGCATTGAGGTCATCTCATTTTGTAAATAAGTTGCACTGGAAAATGGACCGAGAGGGCTGATTATGATGTGTTTAGTCATTTGTGCAATTTTTTCAAAGCAAATCTAGAGACCTAAAGATGGGCATTTAAAGTTAAACTACTATCTGGTACTCTGAGGAGTTATTCGACAAGTTTTCGAACACCCCTGACACAAAAACAGGCGTGCACACACACTATGTGTGTTTAATTGATGCGGTGTAAGGTAAGGATTTGAAGCTAATGATGTACACATAAGGCACGCCTCCAACCCTGAATTTTACCATTTAGAGTAACAGCTTACTCCTGAAAATGTGTTTTTGGTAAGTAGACACTGATGGCTTGTCTGGTGTTCCTGCCAAATCCTTAAAACATTTTCTCTGTTGTTTGTATCTCGATTTTTCTCTGTGCTTTTAGTAGCGAAGCCGCCAGCGTGAGTCGCTTGTTTCAGTAAACATCTAAATGAAAATTGAGGGCACACCCAACTGGAGAAGCCGATGTGCTTGCTAACGTTTGGTTCATGACTTAAAAAACACATTCAGGTGATATATTCTTGGCAGTGTTCATTGGAATAGTGTGATTTATTCCAGCTGTAGATATTATTTTATGATTTAAGGGAACTCTGAACTGTAAGGTGAGCTTTTTGTTGAACCTAAATTGAAGAAATGCAGTGAGAAGACTTTTCCTTTTTGTCTTTTCCAAAACATCATCTACGAAGATTTGTGTCATTTTAAATCCACTCCTAATATTTGTTTTCTATCTTTTCTCTAGGATCTATTCCAGATGAGGCTAAGGCATTGTCACTTTTGGCCCCGGCTAATGCTGTTGCAGGGATTTTGCCCGGCGGAGGGCTTCTCCCAACACCAAACCCCATCCCTAATCCAGCTGTAAGACTCACTATTCATTACCGAGTGTAATCAACACAGAATATACAGGCTGGGGGGATAAGTAATATTTTAACCCAACATTTATTATATTTTAGCTTGGAGGAAATCCCTTCGGTGGGCCAACCATTGATCCAATGGCAGCGTTTGGATTTGCAGGACCCAACATGAACCCTCAGGTTGGAGCTTTTAGCAGGAATTGAATGCTTAAAAAAGAATATTAAATTATATTATTGGTTCATAGTGAACTCAAACGGATGACTTTTAGAACATAGTTATTGTGCTTTCTTGCAGGCTGCTGATCAGCTGTTGAAGATGATGACAGACCCAAAGTATGTTTTGCAAAATGATGTCACACTTGTGTCGCTGTGTAGTGGTGGTGACTTATTTATTTATTAATTTTTTGTTAGACTGAATCCTTTGGCTGCTGGCTTAAATCTGAGTGCGAGCCTGAAGGCTGATGCCTCTAACAAAGAGATTGAGGAGGCCATGAAGAGGGTCAGAGAGGCTCAGTCTCTCATTTCTGCTGCCATCGAACCTGGACGTAAGTCTGCAGGTATTTAGTGGGTCGTGTGTTTCCAGGGCAAAATGAAATGATCTCAGTTATGGGTAGACCGACATATCCGACCGATATTTGACTTTTTTTTTTTTACATGTCGTCATCGGCCGATGTACCTCTTTAATGAAGTCGAGTTAAGGTCAGGCACATCCCCGGGCAGCCCAGTGCTGCTGCAGAGTTTAATTTGTATTTTTCCATTCCTGAATCACATCTGCTTTAATAAATGCTCTAAAAATGATTTCTAACTAAAATTTCTTTTTATTTACCAGTTTTCAGTATTCACTACTTGGTCAGTTTACTGATTTGTTTGATTAACTGTAGATGGGTGTCTGGTTTTAGCACTGAGCAGTGCACAAAATGAAGATTGAACAGTTGGTTAAAGAAACTGATTCAGCTTCCGAGACTTTGTGCATCAACTGATGTTATCTGCAACATTTTAGCATGAAAATAAGGTGGACATTTCCTAGATATCGGTCGTGAAAATGGCCCAAAATATTGGCAGCGCTTGGGCTGATCGTGACTTTTACTTATCAGTATCAGCAACTGGAAAACCAGTATTGGTCCACCTCTAATCTCAGTCACAGTTAAAGTGACAGTGTGTATTTTCCCTGGTGATGGGGCAGTAGATGCCTAAATCATTGCAAGCAAGCTTTATTTTTGTGTTCGGGTAAGGCATTACCAACAGATGGCCATTAGGGTCAAAAGTCCTTGGGAGTTCGCCCTCCAGCAAAATAACAAGAACATCAGATTCCCTTTCATCACTGGCAACGAGTGAAGAGGTACATTTCTAAAAGAACAACGTTTATTAATGCTGAAAGTTTTGTGACCATTTGTTACAAACCAATAAATGCATTTTGTCCTCAACGGCTTCCGCAGAAGGAAACATGGCATCCACTATGGCGTTGCCCAGAGACTTAGACCCATTCCCATGTATTTTAGACCCAATTTTTACGGTTATGTTAGTAAACCACAAACATTTTTCAACAACTGGGTGTTTTAATTCATTTACAACAACACTTCAGTGGATATTTCCAGAGATTATTGGTAAAAACCACACATTGTCATGAAACATTTATTACTGTACCATAAAAGTTTTAAATGAACCTTCTCGTTTGACCTCAGATAAAGAAGGCAAAAAGAAGCATTCCCGGTCTCGATCCAGGTCCAGGAGAAGGAGGTCCAGATCTCGCTCCAGACACAGGTATTACTATAGTTGAAACAGCTGAGATGTGTGTGATTATCAGTTTATTAATGCTTCCAGTCTCTAGTCGCAGGCGAAGCAGGAGCCGATCGAGACGCAGATCAAACTCAAGAAACCGCAGGCGCTCCAAAAGCCCACGCAGGAGACACACCCACTCCAGAGAGAGAGGCAGGCGATCCCGAAGCAGATCCAGGTGAGTTCCCCTCACCTTGCCCTGCTTTCAAAACATTAACATCTGGACAGCTTAGTTTGAAATGGGTATGTTTAATTCATCCACAGAGAAAGGAAGAAGGAAGACGTGGGGAGAAGAAGATCTAAAACACCACCTAAGAGCTACAGCACGGCTAGAAGGTCGCGCAGTGCGAGCCGGTGAGTAACGCTCATGGGTTTCATGTTTTCGTGTGTTGACGGAGAATTCCTTTTTTCTTTCTGAAGATTCCTGTTGCTGAAAAGTGACCACACCAAGGTTTCATTGCCTCTGTCTGCAAAAACCAACATCTCGGTGTTTGTATTTTCTCTTCTTCACAGTCGACACAGGAGAAGTCGCAGCGCCAGCCGATCTCCTAAGAAGTCCCCGAAAAGGAGAACCTCTCCGTCTCCGTCTCCTCGGAGGTTGGTGCCTTGGATTTGTTTTGTATTTCCTTCTTTTTGAGACACTCCTTGAGTCAGCATTAACATCCTGTCTTCTGCAGACACAAGAAGGAGAAGAAGAGGGATAAAGAAAGAGAGCGGGACCGCAGGAGCGACAAAGAGCGCAATCGTGACGAGCGGGACAGCTCCACCACCAAGAAAAAGAAGAGTAAAGACAAAGAGAGGGAGCGTGAAAGAAAATCGGATGGAGGAGACAAAGGAGATATTAAGGTTTGTGAGGCGTCACTGTTCTGATGCGTGTGTGTGTGCGCTAGTGTTGTCAAAAAATCGATACCTAGATATAAATCGATGCTAAAAGTGGTATCTAAATTAGATATTCCATCCCTGTGGTATCGATATTATGGACTATTATACACAGCCTTCTTCAAGTACACTGACACGCACGACAGCCAGATGCCGTAAAGCAACCTCCGCCTCCCAGACAAACAGAAGAAGAAGACGCCGCATGGCTACATTACATTTTCCCATGCAAGTTGTTTCCGATCCAAGTTTTGTCTGCCAAATAAATAAACAAAAACATAAACAGCGAATTTGGGAGGCGCTTCACAGCCCAACTTAATTAGCATACCAAGTCCGACACGTAGTTGTATATTCACGCTTATGTGCTTAAAGGAAAACTTCCGTTTATTGCAACCCGGACTTTATTTCTAGCACGCAGTACGTTTGTTTACTCACGCTGACAACTTTGGTGCTACTTGGATTCAATTCAATTCAAAAATAATTTATTAATCCCAGAGGGAAATTGATTGCTGTAGTAGCTCAGAATAATAATAATAATAATCAAGTCATCAAAGAGTTATTGTATATTACAATGGCTGTTGGCAGGAAGGATCTCCAGTAGCGGTCAGTGTTGCAGCCAAACTGAAGAAGCCTCTGACTGAAGACACTCTTCCGTTGTCGGACAGTCTTGTGAAGAGAATGCTCAGGGTTGTCCATCATTTTCTTGATTCTCTGGAGAATCCTTCTTTGCATTATCTCCTCCAGCGTTTCCAAAACTGCCGAAACTCTGGCTGAGTCCTTGAAAGGGCTTGGAGTTCCTCCATCTTGTTGGCCAGTGATCTCACATTGCCCATTATGATCAATGGAAGAGATGGTTTGAATTTCCTCTTTCTCTGTCTCCGTTTTGCTCCAGCTCTGCATCCACGCTTCTTGCGTTTTAGCTCATTTGGGATTTGTGGCTTCAGTTGAGGTATTATTTCAGCCTTTCCAATGTTAATCAGCTGCTCCCGATTGTAAATCAGCTTGTTGCCATGGTTACGCATCATAACAAATGCTCAAAAAGTGAAAATTCCCCGGGGTATTTAGATCCATCGGCGAATCGCCGTCAGTGTATATCCATACAACGGGTGCGGACGGGCACCCATGGTGCAGCCTCGAAATAAGACATTATCTGCACCAAAACATCTCAGTGTCGAAAGGTTTTGTTAGGAATCATTAACATGATTCCCCTGTTCGTTTGGAGCGAGTCTGGGATTTCTAGCCGTGAACAGACTAGCCGCGGCTAATCTAACCGGCGCTTTTAATGACGTCACTGCCGTGCGCCAGTCTGTTTTTATTAAGATTACCGGTAGATGTACCTTTGTCCTACTGTGGAGAAATTCGTTTTCTCCCTTTATTGACCAACAGAGTTGTTCAAAAGTACAGAACAAAACATATGGTATTACAGCTTATGACAAAATGCACCTTAAACAGAGTTTAAGCAGCAAAACATCACTCTGCAAATAGTGTATATATAGTGAGACAATTCATGATTTAAAGTGTTAACTTTCGCCAGTTTTTGTATGCACGTTTTAAAAAAATGCTGTGATACTTGAAAGGTTTAAGCACTTTACACACTTAATTCTTAACATTTAATTTTTGCAATATAAATTGAGGAATGTTATTTTTTTAATAAACTTGTTCAATAAATTGGTGTTTTCAAATAGTATCGAAATCGAGTATCGAGTCCCCCCCCCCCCCCCCCCCAGTATCGAATCAAGTTTGAAATTTTAGTATCGGGACAACCCTAGTGTGTGCATGCGTGCATAAAGTTAAACCAGCGAGTGTTTGTCGTCCACAGATCACCAGAGATTATGATGAAGAAGAACAAGGGTACGACAGTGAGAAGGAAAGAGAAGACAGGAAGGATTCAGACGACTCTGCCTTGTCTCCTCAGTCAGCCGAAGGAAACGGCGTAGCGCAGCTCGCGAAGCACGCCAAAGTGAATGGTGCAGACGATCACCACGAGGAGGACATGGATGTTAGCGACTGAGCGTTTCACACTGCTTTTTCTCCTGTTTATAAAAATGTTATCATTTCTTTTTTCTCCCATCTAAAATGTGAAGTGTTTGGTTAAAAAAGATCACCGAGACTAGTATGCTCTTTCGTAAATGTATCCTGCAGCCATCGTTTCTCTAGTTTGTCATATTTGCTCCTCCTCCAGATGTGATCAGTAAAAAAAAATCAGAAGTAGGTTTGCAAAGCTTGTTTTCAGATTTTTGTTGCTTCACACTGTTTTTTTTTTTTTTTTGTAGTGTTGTGGTGTAACGGTCTTTCTCCTCCACAGAACAGTTGTTTTGCCTCTGATCTGGAGGTGTTTTATCAAGAATTTCTTTTATATAATAAAGCCTGTTTAAGGAGCTACGACTCTGGTTTTAATGGTTAGCCAATGAGTTCAGTGGCAAACTGTTAAAAACTAAGATGTTCACCAAAGGAAACGGCAATAAACATCTAAAATACAATAAATGGTGGATTTTGCACACATTTATTTTCAACAAAAGCAGAATGAAACAAAATGCTGCTTTGTGTTTACTACACAGAGGAAAAAGTGTTTCTAGAGTTTAAACGAACAGCTATTAGAAGCAAAAGTGCAAAAATGTAACGTTAACAGAAAAACCAAGAGTTTCCAAAGGATTTTACAGCTGAAACACGATGCTGGTGCTTTATTTAAAGGGATGTGAAGTGGTTGCAGTACATACTAGCTGAAGCAGCAGCTCGATGGGTTGTCATTTCCTGTCTGGACACACAATCCAGCTAAATCAACTTCACAGCTTGGGTTTCATTTAGAAAAAACATTTGCAGGCATGTTATCAAAGACCACCAGTTCTTAAGTGTTAGTGTTACAATTTCTCAGCTTTTCTTCTCCATACAGGTGGGTCTGCTGGTAAAACACAAGAACTAAAGATGCAAGTGATCCAGGAGGAGGCCAACGCGGCCGTAGCATGCCTTAAATACCAGTGCAGTATTAAACCTGATGTCCCATCGAAGCGGGGCGTTTCTCCCACACGGAAAACACAACACATTCACTCACGCTAAGCACAGAGTTCATACGATCACAATGAAACGTGGAGGTCAAGAGGTAACATCAGCGAACCTGAACTCAGCAAATGGTCCTGCAGGTGAGAGGGGGCGCATTTTTCTGCAGAACCTTCATCCCAGCTGGTTAAAAACATTCTGTAGTACTGGAAATGTATTGCTACACAGTGTTTATATCCATAATATATATATATATATATATATATATTTATTGTAGACAAATGAATATTGAGCTCAGTTTGAGGTTATAGCTATATCTGTGTTCTTATCAGTGAATTAAACTATTTACACAGAAGGGTGCAGCTTTTAAAATGAAATTAAGATTTTCAAATCTTGACGAAGTGTAAAAGCCGAGTCTTCTGACAGTTTCAACAGTGGAGAACAGCAGCAGCGGCTCAGCTTTATATACAGCAGGTAGGAGAAAAGCCGTCACAAAAACAAACCGCTGATGTGTGTACGGGTCACACGGCGGCGCTCTGGGATGTTTACTTGCATTGATTTGCTTTGGGTACATCAGCGAAACGAACAATTATCAATAAAACCACTTCCCCTCCTTTTTATCCCCCTTCATTTTAAACAGTTGAGACGCAACTCTCCCAACAACGCTGGCCCTTTTTCTCCTTTGCGTCAGTCTACAGGTCAGAGGTCAGGGAAGCGGCTGGGATCTTCCTTGTATTCAGCGGGGATGACGAAAATAGACTCGTCGAATTCGTCGTAGCGGAATTCCTGGAAGGTGACAGTCGCTGTGATCGTGGGGAAGACGGGGATGTCTGAGGAAACAAAAGAGGAGATGTTATTTTTGTGATCTCGCAGCTGGAGCTCGCCCACACGTGGGCGCTCAGACACGTACCGAGTTTGACTGGAAACCCGGGCGGAAGCTTCATCTGAACGAACTCTCTGAGCTTGTTGAAGTGCTTGAACGGGGCGATGACTTCTAAGACATTTAGCAACCTGGAGGCAGAGAAAGGTGAGTCACTCCTAACATAAAGGAAGCGGGATTCCAGGTGTGTGAAAGAAAAATACCATTTAATCATGAATTGTCTAAATATCTGGCAGTAGGGAAAGCAAAACGAACAAAGTTTACACCGAAACTCGACATCCCGTGATTTGCTACAATAAAACAGAATGTGTTTATTTCTTTTTGACGATTCGGACATTAAACCATACATTACCAAAGTTGCAAATGTACTTTTAACAACACAAGAAGGAAAATGACATTAAAAAGCTGTTAGCTGCAACAACACATGACGTTTTAATGTTATCTCCATTAAGGCTCACTCAGTAGAAGACAGAGCAATTTACTTACATAACAGCCTGCACCGAAGTTACATCATCATCGTCATAAACCAACATGTCTTTTTTTAAATCTGCTTTACTTGTTCTGCTTTGATTTAAAGAGCTTGAGTCGGTAAGTAAAGTAAAACCAAATTTAACATAAAAAACATTTTTTTATTCTTGTGTTAAAAAAGGCAAAAATGCTCCTAACAGAAGTGAAATATCTGTTCTATTTGAATAAACTGCAATTAATCCCTCAATTCTTTATTTGTAATATTCAAAAATGATGACTTTGTCTCTTTTACTGACTAAACAAAGCTACAGGAACATAAAGTATACTCGTCAGGAAGACTGCTTCTGTGGATCTTCTCATCAGTGACACACCAAACCCTTCTCACGTACCAAACCTTATCATCTACATTATTTCATCTCCGTTAAGCCCGTTTCCAAAATCCCGGGAGGATTTTCAGGATCAAGCAGCTCTCGGAGTTTTAGCGCGGAGATCCAAGGAGGATGGGATGTACTTACGACTCGATGCCTAGGGGGAAATCCTGGCTCATGGCTACAGTGGCTTTGAAGTTCTTTTTGCTTTCCTTACACATGAGCTCTCGCCCGAGATGGGGAGGCCTTTAGGTGAGAAGAGACACAAATAGATAGAGTTGTACGACACACTCGGTAGTTAAGAGATTTTGTTGTTGCTGCTCTGAATAAATTGAGAAATTACTGATGCAATCAAAGTAAACACATGCTGCTTACTTTCCAGGCTCTGCGGTGATGTATTCTTCCCATGAAATGGTATTGGGAGCTGGAGTTGTGAGAGACTGCCTCCTAGCAGGCTGGAGAACGGAAACACATCCACCGCAGACATAATCAATGGATTAAAGAGCTTCTACCATTAGCTGCTGATTAATGGACCAAAAACTTCAAACTGTTTCTTTTATTACCTCAAAGTTCTGCTCACTGATGCCGCCTCCTTTACTCAAACTTTCCATGATGGCTTTGTTCCTCAGGATGTCTTCCTCGCTTAAGTGCTCCCGTCGTTTCCTCGACTCCAGCACCAGGCCGTTCACCGCATAGAAGTCAGCCAGGAAGTTTCCAATCCGCTCCTGTACAGAAAAGCAACGAATGTGAAACGTAAAACTTAGAAACCGTGGTGCAGAGAGGCCGTCTGCTCTGCAGACATGATTAGAGCTTAATAAGAATCTAAAGGCTAATGAATAAATAGAACTAAATCCCAATTTTTCAGATTTTTAAATCATTTTCTTGAGCCAGTATGTGCTAAAACGTCCCTTTACAGGGTTAATGAAAGGCCACCCAGCCCCTGTCCACTACCGTGGCCAGGATAGTTCACTTGCAGCTTCAGACTGCGGGACCGCTCTGTTGGGAGCTGACATACCTGGCGCAGCAGTCTGGTTCCAGCACGTTTCCTGCATGTTTTAGTTCATGAACACAGATGATTAGTTGAATTTAGAGATGAACCACTCCTGTAGGCACTAAGGAAGGCTGAGAGACGTTTCATCTGTTAGATTAAGGTGTTAAAAAGACAAGTGCACAGCGAGGAGATAAGTTTTGCTTTTGGTTCTACAAGGGGACACTAAGGGGTGCTAAAAGCAAGCCAAAACTGCCTAGTTCCCCTTTAAAGCAACAATCTGGAATGACCCCGTTTTTGGAATTACGTCTGATTTTCTAGAAATCCTTAAAAGTGACATTCTGACCCTCTACTTGATATAACGAAGGCAATGCATTAGCATATTTGCTCAGCTCGCCCCGTCTCGTAGAGCTCCATGACATTTGAATTAAGATGGAATTTTGTTCCATAAAGTTTTCATGTTTGCGTCTGCACATAAGATGAAGCTCTGAAACTTCACAGGCCTGCTTCAGTCAGGAGAAGATGAGGGAATGCATTTAAAAAAAAAACAATTACTTAACAAAAACTGCAGACAAAAGAAGGTGATGAGGGAATACAGCATGTAAACCAAAGGTTTCAAATTATATATTATATATTTATAATTTATTTATATATATATATATATATATATATATATATATACACATACATACATACATACATATATATATATTCATTTCCAAACTTACGTCGCGTTGATGTCAACATAAAACCAGTTATCAGAGAGAACAGACGGAGTTTTGTCTGACTGTGTCAATATGCTGCAAACAAAACAGCTATTTATTTAAAGGTGTATTTTTTCACCCCCATCAAGCCTCCTTCCTCGTTTTTCCTGCTCTGACAAAACATCACATGCAGAGAACGAAGTGCAGATGTGAACAAGAAACTGGGGGGGGGGGGGGGGGGGGGGGGGGGGGGGGCTACTGCTTGGACCAAATCTCTGCATTAGCTTTCTGGGGTTCATCTGTAAGAAAGTTAATTCCTCTCTAAAGATTCATCTGAAGAACAGGGCTGACTTCATATGAAGCCACTCTGAAAGGACCTCACCGTTTTGTCCTCTCTGAAGAGCCAGCCAATCTGACTGCGAGAAAAAGTGATGGACTTGGTCGACAGAGTTGCGGAGTAGATGTCGCTGCCCATCAGAATGTCTACTTCCTCCTCGGTCTCCATCTCAGACTCCTTGTGGAGGAGGGCGGAAATGAGGTTTGGGTTTTCACGTCAAACACAATAAACCGGTCCCCCCGGTCCCTCACCTCATGGTGGATTCTTTGGTACACTTTTGCTTCATTATCCAGAACCACGAAGGACTGAGGTGGCGGAGCGTCGCCGTTGAAGATGAAGCTCAGGTCTCCACGCTGACACTTCATATCGTTGAAGTCTATCAGGGTGGTGTCGAGTCTAAATCCAGAAAGAGGGCAGATGAGTGAGATTGTTACGACCTACTTTTTAGATCTAAAAGAAGTTATCGACCTAGATATGTTGGTGCGGAAACAGAGTTGGTTGTTTTTGGCACCTAACCTGATATTTATGCCCTGCTTGTAGATTTTACAGGCATCCGATGGAAGCATCCTGGAGAGCAAAGGCACTGAAACAAAAAACAAGTTCATATTAGTCTACCTTTTAATCGAGTTAAAAAAAAAATTAAGACAACTCACCCCAGCTTTGAAAGTCCCAGTGCACCTCCAGGTAAAAGTCACCAAGCTGTAAAAAACAATGAATAAATAAAATGTCCAATTCCACAAAAAAAGGTAAGCATAAATCAGTGATTTTTCATTCTTGCAGCTTGAATCATTTGCTGTAATTTTATGAAAAATCCGAACAGATTTTTGCGTTCAGGACGTGAATGTTTGTGCTCACCTCTCTCAGAGCTTTGAGTAATTTTGGCCTCTTGTCCTCTACACTTTCCCTCGACTGTTGCTTTAACTTCCTCAGTATTGCTGTGACTGAACAACAAAAAGCAAAGTAAAACTTTTGGTTTCCTCCAGAACTTACATTCCAATTAGATCAAACCAAAAACAAACAACACGCTCGCTTGTTACAGATGTTTTAACGTCACAAGTTAAATCACATCCTCGTGGTCACAAAAGTCTCTCTTACAACCGTGACTATTATTTTAGTAAATTGTTACATTTATTACGCCATAGGATGCTGGCTGATGCTGTTTTTGGTGAATGTATTTTTGTTATTTAGATTGCTAATGAACTGTTACCTCCACAAATCGGACGTGCATCTGCTTTAATTGTTATTTTCAAATGCATGTAAACATGATTTAACCAAATTTTACAGCATGAACTAGAACCAATTACAGCAGACTGAAATGATGAACTCAAATAACAGACAGGATTGTCATCTTTTGGCTTTTCAGTTATGTTTCATCATTATTTGACACTTCCGAATGATTTAGCACAAACTTCACAACAAAATCAGTTAGATTCGGTCTAATTAATTTATCTTTGTGCCTTCTCAGTATAAAAAACAGTCCAGTGCATCAATTCTCTCATGCAGCGGATACAGAAGACCCCACTAGACTGCTTCTGCTAATTTAAATATGACATGATTGCAAAGGCTCAAAACAGCAAGGACTGGATCAGCAGAAAGAACTCACTGGGTCATAAGAAAATTAAAATAAAAAGGTTTCTCAGAAACCGATCGGTCACCCCATAACGATGCTGGATGGAGCCGAGTAAGTCAGCACATCTCGGTGAGGTGATTTCAGCCAGGAGAAATATGTGAGGGGGGGGGGGGGGGTGCTGACGAGGCGCTCACCACTCGTGATGCACGCACACACACACGCACACACGCACGCACGTGGACACACACACACAGTAAGCTGCTTCACTAATATGCACAACTGTGAAAGGAAAAGGTGATGACTGGTACTGAACCTGCGGTGTTTTGTTAAAGATTGATACCCCACACACACTCATCCACTATTTCTTGATTTCACTAAGCACTACCGACTGTGCTTTACATGATTAATAAAAGAATTCAACACACCCTGCTGTGCCATTAGTGTTTGACTTTTCATGTCCTCAACCCAGCCCCTAGAACCGGTCCCCAGCAGGCCTGTCATGACAGGCCATGGTAGCGGAGATGCATACTAACAAAGTTCAAGGAGATTTCCTGAATATCCAGGCCTCAAAGCCTCCAGTGGAACTAGTCAGACTACAGGGTTGAAATCATCTATACAGCCAAGAGCAGGAGCTAACTGATAATTAATAAATCAGACAAAGTCAACACAACTTACTCATCTGTCTGTCACCGTAGCTGATGGCTTCTGCTAAAGGACTCCATCCCTGTGCATTCTTGATCTTCACAGGTGCATTATGGGCCAGAAGAAGAAGAGCACACTCTAAAAAAGGAGAAAACACACAAATAATCAAATGTTTCCAGATCCAAGCGGCATGACCAGAATCAGGGAGCATGGGTTCTGATTCTTCTGTTACGAATGTGCAATTTTTTTAAATTTTACTCCACCTGCAATATACATGAGAAAACTCAAATACCTTAGAAAGCATAACTTGGTCTGTCTGAAAAGCCAAAAAAGAGCTAATTTTAATTGCTTAATCTGAACTTTGTTGTAAAATCTAGTTAAAAATATATTATTATGCCCCAAAATAATGTGTTCCTATGTGTTCTGCGAATGCACAAAGTATCGAAGGTCAGTTAGTAATTAAACCATCATCGGGGATGAAAAGAAAATCTAGTGTTCTTCCTTGTAGATATTCATTTGTCTCGACAAATTCCTTTGTTTGAAGAAAAATGTAATTTGCAGGGTTTTTTAATGAAAGATTGCTTTGTGTTGATTAATCTCATCCTTGTTGTTTTTTAATGCCAACTCCAGATTGAGAAGTAATCCAAAATACAAAAACAGCTCCAAAATAAGATGTAAAACAGTTCTAGAACTTGAGTAAACACAAGCTGAAGGCAGGTGCTTGGCTAGCACCAAAAATGTTCTGGGCTCAGCTAAATAACTGCATATTGGCTTTTTGAGATGCGTTAACATCATGAGTCTTAATCTTTTGGATGCTAAAATACTTTATTTTTTAAAAGGTCCAAAATATTTTCTTCTGATATTATTCTGCTTTACCTTTGTGGCCCAGCATCACAGCCAGGTGAAGAGGTGTGTTCCCTGTAAAAACAAGCACATTTGTCCAGACTGGTAGTACAGAAAGATAAATAAACAATCCTAAAGCATTTAAAATCAACGAAATTAGCGTTTTACCATGTAGATCTTTCTGAGAAATGCTGTGGGTCCTAATGAGAGAAGAGAGCCGACGCACATCTCCTTTGTACACACACTCATGAACAGGGAACTCCAGCTCATCACTGGTCAGGATAATTGGGTTTTTGTTGTCATCGTCCTTCACTGATGCGTTTCCGTTGATGTTGTTTGCATTAAGCTGCTGCTGCAGCGCGGAGGTTTTAACTGATTTCTGAAAAGCCTTGTTGGATTTAAAGTGGTTGTAAGTGTCGTTAGAGATCGTACCGTTAGAGGTTTCCTCGTAGGTGTCCGTTATCTCCTGGTTTTTGTTTGCTTTTTTGTGATCTTTTCGCATGGTGCGGATCTTTTCACCTGTCATGGTGCAGACTACAGTACGCTAATTACTAGATTACAAACTGGTGAAGGCGTGGCGTTTATTAAAGCACTGAAAGGCTCCGCAAATAAACGACAAATATTTGCTTGTTTTAAATATTTGATTAAATATCGTTACAGCTGTTGTCCCGAGTCAATTAGCTCCCCCGGCGCTAGCTAGCTAGCCCACAATAAAATAATGAATATGGTGGGTGCGGCGATGAAAACAGAAATTAATGCTAAACCCAAAATAACACTTGTACTAAAATAACATAAAGCTAAAACGTACAGCGACTAACGACGGCTACATCGTTATCTATTCTATCGCACCTTAAATCTACGTTTTAATATTATCGATTCAGTCTTTGCAGCAAAAGTGGGGCGGACAGGTTGGTATAATAAACCAAAAAGCTAACATTCTCGCTAGCACCAGCGGTGTACCGCAAATCTCGCGAGATTATTGGTTTAAAGAGTAAATTAATATGATTAATTTAAAGACAGGATGTTGATTTAGTAACTTCTAAAATACAGCTAATAAAAGAAAATGTAAAAAAATGTATTATTTTTGTTCAACCAAGGTATATTGTGTGTTTTAACACGAGACAAAAATTAAAGTATACACTTGTTCATTTTTATGCCGTTATTTTCAACGAAATATAAAATTGCTTTTCCAAGAACAGACATATGTTAATGTGATATTTTAGAAAACACAACTTTTATGACTCATGAAAAGTTTATGACTCCGGTTTCCCACAAACCAAAAACATGCATGTCAGCTTGATTTGACACTTATATTGGCGCTTTCACATCCCACGTGTTAGTATTACTGACTTCCATACACTTTCATAGATACCTTAAAGGCTCATTTTAATAATTAGTTGCAGAAAAAATACATGTAATCTCAATTAATGTTATTTAGTCTTTTATTTTTTATATCTTATAGTTTTAGTGTTGTTTTTATATGCTTGTAGTTTGAGTGTCTGCCAAGAATAACTGAAACTTTTCCGAAAAAATCTCGTAAATTTAGATAGGCCTTTACCCAATTATCATTTTAAACACAGAAGGAATCGTTAACAAATAACTAAACATTGTGCAAAAACATAATATCAGCCATATTGTCAAATACGTGACTTTTAATAGTTATGAACCCAAAAGTTTCCAAAATGTTGCTAAACACGGTTAAAAAAGGTGGAAAGGAGTGAGAGGGGCATTCATTCAAAATCAGAAAGAAAGAAAAAATGTAGGTTGTGTTATTCCAGTTCAAATCCAGTTGATGGCAGCAATGAGCTAGGCGTTACCTTTTACCCGCGATAAAGACGAAGAAGATACGTCATCTTCATGAGACGTATTTTTACGGTGTTGTGAGCTAGTTGCTACCTGGCTAACAAGACGTGTTATTAAAAATGGCATCCTCTAAAAAAGGAAAGAAAGCAGTAAATCAAGAAGAGCTTCGACGGTTGATGAGAGAGAAACAAAGACAAACCACCGAGAAGAATCGCATCGTGTCTCCGTTCGCTAAATACAACAGTCTCGGTCACCTCAGCTGTGTCCTGTGCAGCGTCCAAGTGAAGTCGGAGCTACTGTGGCCAGCCCATGTTCTTGGAAAGCAGCATAAGGAAAAGGTTGCTGAGCTGAAGGCAGCCAAGACTCAACCAGTGGCTGCACCGAGTCAAGCGGTGAAGAGGAAAGCGTCAGACAGCGAAGACGCTATTGGGAAGAAGGCAAAACCAGCGGCGGTTGATGGTCAGGCTGCGTCAGGAGTTCCTGGAGATTTCTTCGATAAACCCAGCGATGAAGCTGCTGTCCCTGCTCAAAAGTCTGCAGGACTGAGTCTCTTGGCCGGTGTTTATGACGGGGATGATGATGAGGAAGAGGAAGCTGATGAGACGAATCCACCTGCTCAGAAGACTGAAGTTGCAGGACTACCATCTGACTTCTTTGACAGCTCCATCCCATCCACACCTGCCATTTCCCATTCAGGATCAATCCTTAAAGCAGACGTGCAGGAAAAGGCCATTGAGAAGAAGGATAACACAGCAGAGGCGCTCCCTGAAGGCTTTTTCGACGACCCAGTCAGGGACGCCAAAGTGCGAAACGTGGATGCACCAAAAGATCATATGGACAAAGAGTGGGAAGAGTTTCAGAAGGAGATACGACAGGTGAACACCAAATCAGAGGCCATCGTGGCGGAGGATGACGAAGAAGGTCGCATTGAACGCCAGATCGATGAAATTGATGAACAAATTGAGTGTTACAAAAGAGTGGAGCTACTCAGGGATAAGAGAGAAGTGCTGAAAAGGAAGGTTGTGCACGTGCCTAGTGAACGCATTCAAACAGAGGAGACTGTTGAAGATGATGAGGAGGATGAAGAAGGGCTCCTGGGGCTTTTGTCTCGAGACTGGAGGGCTAAAGGGGCTCTGGCCTGAAGGAACTTTATTACTGACTCAACAATTATTTTGTTTAAAGATTTCAGTTCAAGATTTATAAATAGATTTGATTTAAAAATGCTCATGTTTTTCTATAACATTACAGTGATTAACACAAAGTTGCAAGATGTGAGTAAAACTCAGAAACAATATCAGTTAATGACCACAAAATAAAACCATTTACCATCTTTATTGGTGCCCAAACAAAAAACAATCATAAAATCTCATTTACAGCAACAATTTACACCATGATGGCGGCCAAGGCCCTGACAACATGAGCTCAAATAACCATTGTCCTGCATAACCTATTGATGACATGTTTAATGAAAAAAAAAAAGTTCATGTCACATCAAAAATCAACATTTGCAGAACTAAATCATTAAAATATTGTGATTAAGACCATAAATTAAGTTTCAACAAGCTGGCCCCCTTAACAAGATAACCAGTTAATAATACATTTGTACAAAGCACAACAAAGTTTTATATTTCTGCGATGTAGATAGATGCACTATTAAAATGCAATAAAATGTATTGGAAATAGTGATTGTCAGTGTTTCTTACACTACCTTTTATATATATGATGAGCTAGGGTTGCCTTTTTCCCACTGCAACATCTCAAACTTACTTATTGCTGCATGTCTCATAAACAACCACTTCAAAGTGTTCGTAGCCCTTCATATCTACAAAACATGACAAAATAAATTTTAAAAAGTATAAATACATGAACAGATTATGTGATCCGTTATAAACCTGGTGAAAATAAGGAGGAATAAATACAGAACAAAAACACTTTGTTTTATCCCAAAAAGTTTAAACTACAGTATTCACTTGAGGTGAATAATTGTCTGACAATGCCATTCCTAGTGTTCGTTTGTAAACACAGAGTTTAAAAGTTGTACCGGGTGTTTATGAGAACATTTGGAACTTGATGGGTCAAGAAAAGCCTGATGGAAAATGGAGGAAATGGATGAAAAGAATATAGAAAGACTGGTGTTCGGGAATGAGATTAAAACAACACCAATGGTCATCGGTGGTTTACTGAAATAAACCAAAGACCTGGCTACATTAGATCTGAATGTTTTCCTTACAGATGCCTGTCTGAATTTTGTCTAAAATGTAAGTAGTGATTTGTGACTGATGTCTAGAAGTGAACTTTGAGGGTGAGGGGTGAGTGAAGTGGGGGGCATATCAGTGCCATCTTTTCAGTAAGACAAATATTCAGATCACAAAAAAGTGCAGCAGTTTCAGAAATGGGTTGGGAACCCCAAACCCCCCCCAGGCCCTGCTGGGTATCTAATACTGGTCGCTGCGGTCAGTGAAGCTGCATTCACAAACCCACAGCAGCTCTCAGCTCCATCAGGGAATACCTCTGGTCTCCGTCGCTGTCAAAGCACTCCAAAGCACGCTCACTGGGGGTCGATGTACCAAACAATCTCTTCAAGTCTTGGTAGGTGACTCCAAGGGAATTCTTTCCAATCCCTGCTTGTGTGAAGAAGTCTTCCAAGTCTAAAATAAATAAAAACAACACTCTCAATTTACAAAAAATATACACACGTTTTAAGACTTTTCATTGCTTCTTTGCTTAAAGTGACAGTGTGTATTTACCCTGGCAATAGGCGGCAGTAGATACCTACATTGTTGCAAGCAAGCAAGCAGTATTTTTGTGTTGGAGTAAGACCTTATCAACGGATGCCCATTAGGGTCAAAAAGCCTTGGGGAGTGCACACTTTGGCTAAATAACACGCCCATCAGACTCCCTTTCATCACTGGCAATGAGTGAAGAGGTAAATGTGTAAAACAACAACATTTAACAATGACGAAAGTTTTGTAACTGTTACAAATCAGTAAATGTATTTTGTCCTCATGGGCTCACGTAGAAGAAAACATGGTATCTATTATGGCGTCACTCAGGAGACTTAGACCCGCTTCCATGTATTTTAGACCTGATTCTTATGGTTATACGTTACAAAGCCAATATTTTCAACAACTGGGCATCATTTCATTCATTTTCAACATTTTCATGGAAATTTCCAGAAATGAATGGTAAAAAGTACACATCGTCTTTTTACAGCTGTATTCATGTTGCTGCTATTTTGTCTCATGATTTATGGTAAATAGAAAGCTACCACATATAGATGGTTATAGTTTAAACTGATTTGGAGAACAAAAACAAGAATTTCTTCCACATTTATCAATTCAAGGAGACTTCTGTAAATTTAGCCCACAATAAATCATCGCAGTAAACGTCCAAAAATAAATAATAATAATAATAATAATAACGCAGCTGTGTGTGTTCTGCAAACCATCAAAACTGATGTATGTTTGACAAAAGGATTACGATGGACACCTTTCAGAGAAGAGACCCCAGGCAAGAACAGCCTTGTGAGACATTTTCGGCCAGCGTTTCTCTTTGCTCGTTTGGGGGTTAAAAAGCGAGGACGTCTGCTAGTTGGTAACTCCGTCATTGGTGTGGATATTCCTGTCAGAAAGAAGGAAAGGAGAAGAGGATATGGATGTCACAAACACACAGGAAAGAAGGTCAAACTGCTATTCTAGGCTGTACCCTTCACATCTTCAGGGGTTGCCTTAGTTGTTACCACTTTGATCATCCAAGTTTCTGGATGTTCACTGCTGATTTCCACTGGAGCTGCTGCATCATTATTCTGCAACTGCAAAAAATAAATAAAACTAAATCCTTGTGCGAATGGATTACTAGCTGCTGAAAGTGTGGACTTGAACATTTTGCAGTTGCCATCTTGTTTTTCGTGGCCAGAAATGACTTCCATGGGCTGGATCTTTAAACACAGGCAACATTATGCAAGAACCTCAAAAAAATGTTTTGATTTTTAAGCACAGAAGGTAAATTATGCTTGATAAACGTAACAAAACCTAAATAAAACTCAAAAATAATGCATGAGAATTAAAAAATCCTTAAAAGATTCGAGACAAACATTTATTTTGTTTTTACTGCTCAGTTTCTTTACCGTACTTAACTCCCATAACCAAGTAGACCTGAAATAAGGACAGAAACTTCTATTACTCACGCTGTGTTTTGACCCATTCTCCAACGAGGCCACTCTCTGATGAAGGTCTGCCACGGTAGAGAGGAGGATGTGAATCTGCTCATCAGTCCACACGTGGTGCTGCTCTTCCGTCTCGTTTACTTCACTCATGACTTTTTTAAGGTCATTTATGTTCTATAAAATCATCATGAAAACCCGATTAGGTGGTCATTTTTTGGATAGAAATGACAAACATGAGCATCGGCAGTTGAGATCTGTTTGATGAAGACATATATTAATGTACTTAACATAGACTATGGTGATCACAGCTAAACAGAGACTATTTGAAACTACAAATTTACCACGGTCAGAGTACAGAACGCCCTAATATACAATTATTGGATTGTTTCCCACTTTGGGCTTGTAAAAAATAAATAAATAAAATAAACGTAATTCTTTGAAATATTTGTCCTAGTTGTAGTTACAAACTCAAAGATCTAAGCTCCCAAAAATAGACTGGTACTTGTTTCATATATAATAAATTCAAAGTCAAGGCGCAGATCCAAGAAATGACAGGACCTTCTTATCCCAAAGGCTGCTTTTAATATCAGCTTGACAAGAAGTGCCAAGCATGCATGCACGCGTGGGTTAACACGTTCGCTAATCTGGCCGAGGCGACCGCCACCACAGCTTCTCATCTGGACTTGAGCCATGATTAGACTGATCAGCTGACAAGTCATCCACAGAATTATCACGCTCAAAAATATGCACGTATCTTTAATTCTTGATATGCAAAGTGCAGCAAGGCTGTAAAGAGGAAGTACATTAAATGCAGTTTATACCAATTAATTGATTATATTACAGTAGGCTAATGCTTTATTGGTTGTTTCATTATGCACACGTGCCCATTCAGTGTATTCAATTCATAAATAATACACTAAGATATGAACAAAGTATCCCTCAGCAGTACGTGGTGTGAGCCTTGAGATGTCAAACTGAAAATACAACTTGGTTTTGACCCAGAAAACAATTATAAGCTCTTTCTAAACTAAGAAATAAAGTGTAACATGTTTTGAAAAAGACAAGTTAATGTTCTGTCTCCAAACAGTAATATTCAAAAACACAATTTTTCATTAATTCTGAGATGTTACCTGTATAAAAAAAAAAAAAATGAAAAAATAAAATGTGTTCGTGTGTGTTAGTTTAAAGGGACTTTTCGGACTTTTGAATTTTTATGCTCGCGATTGCCCCCTCAGGCCAAAAGCGAAACGGCAGCTTCAATAGTAGGCTCGTGCACGAGGCGCGCATGCTGTACGTGCACACTCCTTAACGAAAATAACAACTGAGACAGTCCCGTGTGTGTGTGTGTGTGCGTGCGTGTGCGTGTGTGTGTGTGTGTGTGTGTGTGTGTGTGTGTGTGTGTGTGTGTGTGTGTGGGGCCCGGAGGACAGAGGACAGGAAAACACGCAGCTCTTCAGCACAGCCGACAAAGGTTTATGATGGGTCAGTCCTCCTACATGCTCAGATCATGCCCTTCCCTTGCTTGAAAAATTGTTCCAAATGAAAGTTGAAACCACATCTTTTTTATCCGTGAATTCAATGTCTTTCGGCGAGTCTCAAATAAAAATTTGGGCGTTTTATTTCTGTAAAAAATATACCATTAACGTAAAAGAGAAACTTCAAATAAACTATGTACTCAACCGGAATCAAACCCAGGACTTCTGCATGAGAGTCAGACATCATACTAGGTGAGCTAAAGCGCCAGTGACAATCATTTTATCTGTAACATTTATATCCTTGATGACAGCTGAAACGTCAATCCAAAGAACGGTTCGGAGCAAAAATGGCTATTTTGTTGCTATTTGCAGGAAATATCTAGAAGAAAGTTCTACAGAAAGTAGCTAAGGGTCCTCAGAAATGTAGCTAGCTTTGTCACTAGGCGTTAGGAACAGCGACAAAGTGGCACTGCCTCTTTCTCTGCTGCTAAAGCTACGGATAGCAAATGCTACGGGCTATGCCTGAGCGTGACGCACATGAAGCAGCCTGCTCGACCCGAGCAGCTCTCTTTTTCTGTGATTTTACAGAAAAACAGGCAATCACAGTAAAAATGCCAGGGCTCATTCTACAGGACCAGGGCATTGCAGGAGAATGTATGAAGAAAACATTTATTATTTCTATACATGTTTTGGCTGTCAAACTTCCTTATAGTCCCTTTAAAGTCTGCTTCTGTTGTTGGGAAACATTTAGGTGATGGACCTGTTTTCTGTGGACGCAGCCTGTCTACTGGCTGGCTGAGCTGTCACTAAGTTTGCTGCCTAATGGGCTCGACACACGGGAGGCGACATCGCCTCTCCTCCATTAATTTTCAATGAGACATGCGCGACAAAGCGATAATCGCGGGTCTCTCTCCTACTAAGCGAAACGCGAAAAACGTGCGTGTGAAATTTTGCACTCGTGCACGACCCAGTGACGCGATCCCAGAAAGTTGAAACATTTTCAACTTTTCATAGCTGTCGCTTGGACGAGAACCAATCAACAGAGGTTTCATTCACTGACCAATGAGCGGACATAATGCTCCGCACATCTCCGAGCATACATGAAGGAGAAGTTGATTATTATTATGTTTTATATAGTAAAATCAGAAGTAAGATTTCACATAACTCTAGCAGCACCTTGTGAAACATCATATCTACCACTTTATTAACTCTGAACCGCTTAAATAACCTTAATTACCTCCAACCTGACACAGCCAAACAAAACAACGGAAGTTTCGATTTCGCCATGGAACAGAACGCGTAGACAGCTTTGCCGCTGGCCGCGGATCGCCTCCCGTGTGACAGGTAATAAAAGCGACAGCGACAAATTTCGCTGATCGCGGTCGTTTGTCGCCTCCCGTGTGTCGAGCCCATAAAGCCTAGGACTGGAAAATTAAAACAAAGCGAACAAAATCAAATGGTTGCTTTCAAGGAGTAGCCTAAGTAGTCATCTCACGGTTTTGAGGTTTGCAAGCCTCAATTAGAAATTTAATCTGAACTAATTACAGCGCCAGTAGTCTTAAGAGCTTCAATGTAAAAAACAAACACGTCACTTGAAGTCCATCAGGAAAACCTTACGAGTTCTTCGGTTTGTGTTTTAATTTAAAAAATGTAACAAAAACCCTTTTGTTCCAATTTCAAGAAAAATACAAAGTCCTGCTGACTTAAGTTCAGCAAAAGAATATTTTAGGGTTTAAAATGATGAATTAAGGGGAAAATGTCTCATTTGAAATTACCGTCGTCTTCTTAGAGTCGTCTTCTTTCTTTTGATTTTCTAGCGAATCCTGCATAGTCTTCACATCGTGTTGTACACTGGTCAGTGTGCTGCCAATCGTAGCGACGCTCTGGAACAGCAACGTGTTTGAGAAGTTAGCGACTGAAGTCCAAACTAACCATGTAGATGAATCCATCTAGAGGCTTTACCTTTTGCAGCTCTTCAACAGTCGTTGGAAGGCTGATTAAATCAGCAGCAGATTTCAAGTTGACTTTTAAATGGTTAACAGCAGAGTCCAGCAATGTTATCTGTGAAGGTAAAATAACACATATCCATGAGAAGGAGTTGTTTTTTTAGAACAGAAGTATTACATTTATAAAGATCTCCATAAAAGTCTTCGTCTTAGCACGCTTCTTTTTTCTAAAAGGTGCAAGGAAAAAAGATTTGTTTAAGAGCGTTTTTGCCATGTTGCTTGAAATGCTCTTCATATACTGATGACAACCAAAAAAATTGATGTTTTGTTTAATTGCCTCTGAAACGTACAATCTTGATAAAACCTCATCCAATCATTGAGAATGGGACATTCCCAATGACTAGAGCATGATCCAGCCATCAAACTGCCCCCTGACTGACTGTCTCCCATACGCATACTTCTCTTTGTGCACGAATCGCACGTTTTTGATTTGGAGCAGCTGAACTGAAAGCAAAGCTTCGTGACTGCTAGTTTCACAGACAGAATGTTCCATTGCTTGTTGTTTGCAATTTAGATTTAAGGAGTTGTTTTACATATTTGTTTAAAGTCACGTTCTGTTGTTGGGAAACATTTAGGTGACGGACTTGTTGTCTGTGGATGCAGCCTGTCCTCTGTTGGCTGGCCGAGCTGTCACTAAGCTCGCTTCCTAAAGCCTATCTCTATTGGCTTGAATGCAAACAAAACACACATGGACACGTTTTCCTTTCAGATTTCTCTGTTGCTAGGGGAGTGCTGCAAAACAATTCCCTGCCAGAACATTAGGGGGTGTAGAGCATCTCTATTGTATTGTATTGTGTATATTCTGTGACTTTTTAACACAGACATATGTGTCCCTCATTCTCCTTCACCTCTTCATGCACACCCCGTTTCCGGCAAACTTATTCCAGGAGTTAAAAGTCTTCTGCACATCTTTGTACTCCTTCAGTAAAGGGTCGCATAAATGTTCATATCACTGGCTTGTTCTGAAAAACTTTTACGTGCTCCATGTCTGCCGCTAGATATAATCAGCCCTCTTTTGTTTTCAGGGAGAACGGCGGTACTGTTGACAAATTTAAAGAAGATACATGCTGATCAATCACAGGCTTGTGCTCTTCAGTTTGAACAGTTAAAAAAAATGGAGCATTTCTCTGTCATCTTGCATTAACGGATGATAGCACTGTGTGTTTCCACATCCCCAAAGGCGGACAAGAATAAACTAGGCTTAGTGTGTGTGGGGAGCCATCGGAGAGAAGGGGGCAAGTGTGAGGACATTTGGGGTGAGTTTTGGAAGTTTTCACCTGTCATTCTTGGGATTTTCCCAGATCGTTGGTGGCAAAGAGCAGCTGTCATTTTGATGTTAATAAATCAAGAAAGCTAAAACCTGCCTTGTTTTTCACCAGAAATTCACCCTACCATACCATAGATGTTTTACGTTAGAATTTATGGCAGAAAAGAAGCAGACAGCGAGTCAAAAAAGTAAAACTCAACCATCTGGAACAAGCATTACTCATTTACATTTTCTGAAAATGATGCTAGGGGGAGTGGGGGCGGGAAGTGTTGGACTTTTGAACCATGTATTTTCAAATAGAAAAGACACCTATTTTACTTTTAATTGAAATGCCCCCCTTGCCTGTTGAAGCTGAATTAAAATGATCTTTGGTTTTGGATTCCTTTATATATAAATAGATATAAAGCAGACAAATGCGGTTATGATCCCTCTTGTTTAAGCTACAGGCTTCCTTTTGAAGTTGTTTGCAGCAAAGAATTTATACAGAAGAGGCTCCTTAATCCCTAAATTACAGAAAAAACCCGCCAAGAAGGCATGCTTCTGAAAAAATAATCTCAGTTTGTATGGCCCCATTGTTTACTCTCCATATCTTATATTCTCTTAAAGCCTTATAAAGAAGCTGACTGCGCTGATGTTGAGGTTTCCAAACTTACAAGCAAACATAACGACTAACCTTTCGATTCATCTCCGTCAGATTAAACCAGAGCTTGCTCAACCCCTTGTCCCCATTCTTAATGTCGTCAAGTTTTCTGTCCTTGTTTTTGAGGTCCTCGCTTATTTTGGGTATTTCACTTGATGACACCTTCTGGCTAGATTCCACTGAAACAAATGAAATAAAATGTGTTAAAAGCACCACTACTTGGAAAAGAAAAGATTAAATAGTTGATCTACAACCAGTTTGAGATGTCCAAAGGGCAGAATTGTTGTTTACTGACATCACATGGTAACAGGTGATTTGTGACACTTACTGCTGTGCAGCTTCTCTTGCAGCGAGTCTAGATCTTCTTTCAATGCAATCTGCATCCATATGAGTCCAGCGCAGGCCATGACGCAGGCAGCAAGTATGATGAATAAAAATAAAGGGTAGCACACATTGCAGCACTGCCAGTAGCTTTTTCTGTTGAAAAAAGTGGTTGGATTAGACACTGTAAGTGGATAACCTGTTTAATTATTTATAGAGGAATTATTTTCAATAATGGATGTTACAGGAATTATGAAGACTGCTTAAAAGGAATTACTTTATTTAAACGGGCTGACTGATACAATAGCATAGTGTATACATTATTTCAAAGTTATATCGTACATACAGAGTCATTAATCTCATCTCTCCGTGTACAATAGATGGGTAAAAGGCAGGGAATCAGGGAATCATTGAGACCAAAAGTAAAGCCTGTTGAAGGGCACAAACTACTGAAACACTCATTATTAATGTGGCAAGGTGGAGAAAGGTATTTCGTACTGCTACATTAATGCAAACATTAATTCAATCTAACAAACTGATCACCATGGAATTATTAACAACGTCTCTGCTCATTGATTTTTAACACAACAACAATGTAAACCCATCACCTACTTGCCAAAGTTAGCTCCACTGTTAGGATTGTTGAAATCATCATCTTCTGAACTCGATTCGGACTCAGAGTCAGGTGGCTCGGTTCGGAGAAGTCGGTGCCCAGAACCCTTTTTGGTCTTCTTTCTCTTACTGTCACCGAGTCCGATAAGAGCGTTCAGCTCCTTTCTCTTCTTCATCTTCTTCTGGGGAGTCAGCGAACCCGCCGAACTCGATTTAAACCCAACTAAATCCAATGTTTTGTCCAGTTTGATGGATGTTTTGGTTTACGTAGAGGCTAAGCTATTGCTGCTAGCTCCAATTTCAACGACGAACAAAGCTAACGGATATAAACACATCGGATTTGAGCAGAGTGGTTGATTCGACACAACACGCCTAACACATTAAAATGTTTAAACTAATGAGCTTAACGTTATAATACAGCAGCTTATTTGAAAAGAAAAACTTTCTCTAAGAGCTACCGGGTTATCATGTCGTTAAGCTAACTCGCCTAGCACATGCTAACAGAGGCTGATGTTATTGTACTAACATTAATCTCCGGTTACGTCAGAAATTACTTGCTCGAAATATCATTCGTTTAGAAGCGCAGCAAAAAATCTCGGAATAAAAAACTGAACTTTAAAGCATGTAACCAGGTAGTGCTGAGCGACATGTACAAAATTTTAACCTTCTGCCTGAATTGTTTGGGAAGGGTTATCGAAGGAGGACCCTCATAGCTGATTGGTGCGACAATAAAGCTACAACTTCCGCTATTCAGTTTTGACGGGTAGCGAAACCGCACAGAACACCTCTTGCATGTGACGCCCGTCTGTCTGTTCTGTTCAAGGCCATCAAATGAGGTAAAAATGCAGTTTGATACAGCTCGAATCTAGTTTGACGTGTCTCTGCGTGTGCTACGTGTTCCACATACGTTAGTTTTAGCCTACCAATGCTTATGTTGTGTGTTTATTTAGATTGTCAGTCATCCTGGGCATGATAATGAAGGTTTAGTTGTAACTTTTCATACTTTCCTTGAAGACACCTCTCAATCAAGATGATAAATACGATGGTGATGATTATACTCACCCCCCCCCCCCCCCCCCCCCCCCAACGTGGTCATGTAAATCTCATATCTCAACTTATCTCTTGCTTTTTTCAGCACAATGTGTCATTGAGACAAAATGTGTTATAATCATCGACATTAAGAACTGTGATAATTTTTATCTCGGTTTTTTGATCATTTCAATTATTCTGAAAGAGAAAGGGTAACCTTTGAAAACACATTTATAAATACTTTTTTTATTTTTGATTTGCCGTTTGATGACGTCTGTGTATCATTACAAGAGCAAAGTCCACTCAGACAGACTAAATTATAATATCCAAAATGAGAATATCTTAAAAAGAACATATTTGTATAGCGTCAAATCAGGATAAGAATCGTCTCAAGGCAATTCACAAAGTAAACATTACATTATAGACTGAAAAAACATTACTTGAACTAAATCATCTATAGAGCAGGGCTTGCTCATCCTCGGATGCTGCTTGGAAGAATAAACAGGTTATTTATTTATTTATTGTTTGTTTGTTTGTCATTCTGCTCTGTACATCAAACAGTCCAGGAGAAAACTGAGTAGAACGGCTGCAGCATCACTGAACGTTTTCAAGGTTGTCCTTCACACTCCAAACTGCTTTAGCCTCTTCAGGACGTGGAGGTGACTTATGGTTTCCTGTACAAGTCTATCACTCAATTCTTTCTCCTGCAGATGTTCATGTGCAGGAGGTTAAATATGCACCATCTGACAAAATCCTTATGAGTTTCCTGTACCCTTAGGAAATAAAATAGATACTTACAGTACTGGGGTGCTCACTGTGGGAGAGTGATCTTTCCAGCAGGTAAATGACTGCATCAATGACTGGTTGGTATGCTAACTGCAAAGAGTCCTGCTGTGCGCTCACCAGGGGTCAGACATAGCCAAGTACAATCATTTTCATCGCCTTTAATAGATGAAAAGTCAGACAGCGGTCTAAAGCGTTTTGGGTGGCTGGGGTTTATGGTTGTCAGTGATGGAACCACACTGGGAAGTTTAGACTGCGGGCAATCCACAGTTAAGCACACTGACAGGAGAAAGAATGGTGTGTTCAGATGCTGCTGCTGATGTTTTCAGTGTTGTGGGGGATATAGTATGCTGTGGCCATTGAAGAAATAATGGTTTTAGGAAGGTTGGGAGGAAGAAAAGCCTGAAGCATATGTGAAAGCCTGAAGCATATGTGAAAAATTATTTTATTCCATTTCTTTTCTGATCTGTTTGGCTGTCCCACTGCTGTCCAATTTAGCCTCCTCCAGTCCTCCAACATAGTTTTGCTGCAGATGCTTCTCAGTATTCTTCCCTTTTCTATTTATTTTGTATCCTTCCTCACTCTTTTCTCCCTCTCCTAGTTAAAACTCCATTTTCTTTTAATGTAACAAGGCCTATATATCAGAAGTGACCCAGGGATTATTCTTGGAAAACACCTCATTTTCTGGCAAGCGCAACAATCTCACTGTACACCGATATTTATGTAGTCATGTAGCGCTCTCAGTCTCAAATGGTGCATCTTAATCAGGTTTTTTCTCAATGCAGTCACGTCACTACTCTCCTCAATATTCCCTCCTGGTGGTTGGGGGATGTTATTTTCACTACAGCTGTGTAAACAAGCTGGAGAGGAATAAGGTTGTGGTCTTAACAGCCGAGTAGGCGAAAGAGCGATGATCTATATTCACCCTTACTCCTTAGTAAATCCAGTAAATCCGGAGTTTTATTGTCCTGTGTGTTGTGTAACTCACTGGGCGAATGTGGGGAAAGTGGAGTCGCCGGTGATGAAAATGTAGGGACAAGAGGTGTAAAAATCTGCAGCTTTGGCATAACGGTGTGCAAGAGCTCAATGTGTGCAGCATTGTGATCTGAGGGTAGGACGTACACTGTTTTTGCAATGATGTGTGAAAATTCCCTTGAAAGTTATCGTGGCTGAAGGGCACCCTTTAATGTCCCTGTTACACCGTTTCTGTTGATGTTTTCAAGGCTGCGCCATCTAATTCACATACATCACCACAACACTGCATTAAATCTACATACAAAAAAAACATTATGTAAATGTAAAAAATGAGCTTTTATTTTTTAATGAATGTCCATATTTATTACGATTGTAGCAACTGAAATCAGGAAAAATTTGAAGTGATTAACTGCTCAGGGCATCGTTTTTCATTGTGTGCCAAATCCACTTCAATGGTTGCTTAAAGGCAGATTAATTCAGCAATAATATATATTTTATTATAGGTCTATAATATATGCCAAGTGTGTTTTTAGCTGTCTTGCTGAAATAATAAAGCCACGAGACATGTTTACTGTCAGTGCTCTGTCAGCTGAGCGATGTGATGCACTTCCACATATCTTCATAAATGCCGTGTCAATCATTTCTGAAACAAAATCACTCATTTTGTTTCCACAGACCGCAGGATCCTGCTGTATAGGGAAAGTACTGACGTTTCCTAGCCTGGGTGCACTTATTTCATACAATCTGTTTTCTATGCTGTTCCAAATTAATCTAATTAGCAGAGAAATGTTCCACCAGCATTTTTAAGTCTTCGGTTCACTCCTTTTATTTAATCGTGTCGATGGCATTACTCTCAAAAGGAACTTATGCTTAAAAAACAAAACAATATAAGTTCCCAGTTTTTACATCTGATTTATCATCTTTGTGTAACTTTTTTTTGACACACAGAATCAGAACGCTGTGCGAATCATTTCATTTGGAAACTCAAACCGTGCACTCCACTTTCTTAACTAACGATTAATCTACATTTAGAATCCCCAGTTTAAAAACGTGTTTATTTTGTTGCACTATAGGGTTCAAATTACGGGGGAGCTGTACCCTTAGGAAGCCCAGCTCCCCTTAAAAGGTTATGGGCTCCCCTATAACCACTCAACTTACACACCCATGGGCAGCTCGAAAAAAGATCCAGTTTTCACCTATTCTTTAAGCGAACTGTCCGCGTACCGGGGATTATTTTAAGCGGAGAGGATGGAGAGTGGCAAAGCCTCTGTGTAATTCATACCCTGACAATAACCACACACTAGCCCACTGATTTTTGTGTTTGCATAATAATTTAATGAAGTCAACAATGTCCACAAAACAGCACTTATTTCTGTTTCAGTTTGTCACGTCCAGCATGAATTCTGCCATAAATCCAGATGACCCGGAGGGGGATTGGCTGACCCAGCAAGACACACGGGCTAAGCTGAGGCAGGGTTGCTACAGACCGGCTTTTAGCTCATTTTCATGGAAAACAGTCTCCCACTGGTCTGCTCTTAGCTTTGAAATATTGCCTTTTATGCGCCTGGTACTTCCCCCCCCCCCCCCCCCCCCTAAAAACCACAATACAATGTTAGTAATAATAATAATAATACAGAATGAAAATCCCTCTCCAGATGAATTTACAGTCACACAAAGGACCTGAAATGCTCCTCAGAATCTCAGTATGAGTTTGATTATTGAGTTTCAAAAGCTGAGACCTACTGCTGATGCTTTATTATCCCTCAGAATAAAAAAAAATCCTCAAGGCAGTACTTGTCAGCTCATGATAATAATGCAACGTCACACAGAAACACAAAGCTAATGTTGTCATAGTTTAGCCAGACTGCAGTGCTTGTTATATAAGAAACCGGGAGGAAGTTGTGTTGTTGTGAGTGCATTTTCTGTGTCCAGTCATGTCACATAGGTAGCAAAGTGAAATTCAATCAGTGCCTCTGCTTAGAGCACCTGGGGAGAGAACAAGCTTCACGCTGGGGGCTGTGTGGAGCCATGCCAGTATGAGGCTGCAAATCAAAGCATCAAAGGTGTTTCATCTCTTCACTGGAGTCTGTTTTTCATCGAGGGTTAAGACTGAAAGGATGACGCCTCAACCTCTGGTTCTGCACATCCACAAGCCACAAAGCACAGAGCAATGGGCGTCAGAAGCCAATGTCTCTGATTTCTGCCAAGCATTTGTTTTTACACTTTGTTCACAGCAGGGATGTTCATATTCTCACCAGGACCGATTTCTGTAGCCGTGGGCAGGGAGCAGCCTTGGGTGCTGACTGAGAATGTAAATAGTGGTGGCACGATAGAAAATACTGAATTGAATTGACTGCTAATTGAAGACTTTCATCTGACATGGCAGACTGTGTAAATACAGATTATCATCAGTTGGTGGTGGCTGCTGTTGGAATACCGATTTCTCCCATCAGACATTTTTAAACGTTTATTTAGAATAGTTCAGCTATCATGGATGATTCAGCCACCAGCACGTGTGAAAATTTCATCTGACTGGAACACATGTATCACCTTTATTTTTAGGTGATGCCCTTTCAGAAAGCAAACAGTTCTCTCAGCAATCCCCTCGGTTGCTTTTTTCTGTTGCAAACCGAAATGAGCGTTTGTGTTGTTTAGCTTTTCCTTAAAGTAACACAGAGCAGTTTCCTGCTTCTCTGCCCTACTGGTTGAAAGTGGAATTACAACTGTCATAAACAACCCTGCTGTAGCTAGTGCTAAGAATGAGCGAACACTAACATGAGCCAATGAATACCAGAATAAACCATGAAGTAAACATATCCACACTGGTAGAAATGTATATTATTTTTACAAGTCCAGTTTCAACAAAGCCAGGTCACAATCAGTCTGTGATTTT